AACATTCACATTAAGTCTGTAGGTGAGTTCTGTGAGGAATGTTGCTATAATTTTAATGGACATTTACACTGAATCTGTAGATTGCTTTCAGTGAGATTGTCATTTTTGCTGTGTTTCTTCTACTTTCCCAAGAAAACAGGAGATCTTTTTATTTTCTAATGTATTAAAATTTTTTTTCTTAAAAGAGTTAAAGTTCTTATCATGCAAGTTTTTCCATTTATGTGGCCCGCTCTTGGGTGGGAGTCGAGTTGTCTCAGCTTACGGTCCTTTCCTGCTGCCAGGTGTTGCTTCAGGTGGACTGCTAAGACTAGAACCTCTTATTAAATTTATCAAGGGCTAGCGTTCTATTCTGACAGATAGTAATGGTTAAAAATAAAATAAAAAACATTTCCCCCTTCACAAGCAGAGATAACAGAACTCAAATTTCTGTCCTGCTTGCTTAGAGTTACTCCAAGATATTTTATGATATTTATGGCTATTTAAAAGGATGATGTCTCATTTATCCTAGGTGTATAGGGGTATATTTTGGGTTGTTTTCAGATTCTGGCTATGATAAAGTAATTCTGCTGTAAGCAGAGCTGAGCACATGTCCTTATAATATGGTTGAACAACTTTTGTATTTAGGCCCAAAAGGGATATTGCTGAGTTTTAAGGTAGATATTTGCCTAATTTTAAAAAATAGCCATACTATGATCCAAAAGTGGCTGTGCCAGTTTGCACTTCCAGCAATGGATTTTTTTTTCTTTACCCAGATTTTCTTAAGCATAAATTGTTAGTAATTTTTAATCTTGGCCATTTTTACAAGAATAAGATGAAATCTCAAAAGAGTTTTGATTTGCATTTCTCTGATGGCTAAAGGATGTTATGTTTGAGCATTTTTTTAAGTGTCTCTCAGTCATTTTTAAGTTCATCTGTTGAGAATTTTCAGTTTATGTCTGCAACAAATATTTTTATTGGATTAATTTTTTGATAACTAATTTCCTGAGTTCTTCAAATATTTTTGGAGTGGGTTTATGATAAGTAAAGATCTTTTCCTGCTCTATAGTCTTGTTATACAGAAGTTTCTCAATTCAGGAGATCTAATTAATTGTTTCTCCCAATGTTTGTGCCACCAAGACTATATTTAAGATGTGGCAAAGTATACTTCTAATTTTTTCTCTGTGAGGTTCAATGTGATTTTTATATGCTGAGGCCTTTGACTCATTTAAACTTGAGTTTTGTACATGGAGATGGATGTGGATCTCTTTTTATTCTTCTACATGTTGATGTCTAATGAGGCCCAGATCATTAGTTAAAATGCTTCCTTTTTCCATTTTCCTATCTGCAAGGCAGACTTGCAACTTAAAAAGAGGATAGCTTAGGGCCGGGCGGTGGTGGCGCACGCCTTTAATCCCAGCACTCGGGAGGCAGAGGCAGGTGGATCTCTGTGAGTTCGAGACCAGCCTGGTCTACAGAGCTAGTTCCAGGACAGGCTCCAAAGCCACAGAGAAACCCTGTCTCAAAAAAAAAAAAAAAAAAAAGAGGATAGCTTATAAACTTTTAATTAGATATTCAATGGTTAAAGCCCTAGTTATAATATTCTTATGGGAGACCTTGAACCAATTGTATCGGCGTGAATAAATGCAAGGCAGATATTAAAGAATATATACAGCTTTAATGTTTAAATAAACTTACAGAACCGAGGTTCCCGCGCAGCTGTTTCACAGGAGGCAGGAAAAAGGGGCGAGCACCTCCCGTGCGCCCGATTTATCCAGACGCATTCGCCCGAGGCAAACCTGCCCCCTAAAGGGGCTGGCTTCACCCTACAGCCAATAGGTAAAATTCTTACAAAAAGCAATGAGTCAGTTTCCAATAGAGAGCTTATAAGAGCTGCCAGACAGGTACTCAAGCAGGTAAAGTATAGATCAACAGGTAAAGTATACAATAATCAACAAGTACAGTATATTAATTATGATTCAGCTATGGAAAGTGTGTGTATTAAGTGTAAAACTTATTCTACAACAGTTTTATGAAAAAGCAAAATGCTGTTTATGGCTAAACCTTCCCAGTTTTGCCACTTAAGATATTAAACTCTTAATTTAGAGCAGTAGCCTGTCTGGTACAAAAGGGCAGGATAAAATCTGGGAGATGTTTTAATAAAATATTGACTATGGTCAATGTTTCTTATACTAAACAATAGATTCATTGATAATTTTAAGATTGATTCCTGGACAATTGTGTTTGCTCAATTCAAAGGCCAGAATGTCACGGCCACCCTCGTCCCGCAAGGATGACACAACCACCGGAGCTCTTCTCACTGCAGTTTATTCCAGAACTTTATTCACTTTCTCACTTTTCCTCTCTCTCTCCAGGCAAACCTCTACCAGCCCTTAAGTAGGCATGGGCTGCCAACCCCAAACTGCCAGGTGGGCACTGTCCATAGGCCCACACATATGCAAGCAGCTGATGATCATTGCATGATCATAGCATAGGTCAGACTTTAGCCATAGGAGTTGATTATACATCTCCATCAGTTATGATTCCACACAGCTCGCTACACAAGAACAATAATCTTTTCCCAGATGATCATTGCTACAATTCACACAACTGTATTTTACTAATGTTATAGCTAAAAATCCCTTAAAGGATTTTATACTAAATTTTACAAATGGCTCTTCCAATGGAAGAACTGCACATATGGTTAATAATAAACAGAAATTGGGGAGCGTACCAAGGCTCCTTGAAAGCAACTTATACAAGTTGCAAACGGATCCTGATGCAAACAGATCTGACATGATGACACCAAACTGACCTTTACTAAGGCAAGGTAAAAAAAAAAAAAAAAAAGCCCTTACAATGCATTATGAAAAAACCCGACCTATACATATTTGGGGTCGAGGATATGTTTGTGCTTTTTTTCACAGAAAGAAAATAAAAGCTGGACCTGATGATGTTGTAGCTACAAACACCCGATAAAGGAGTTCCAAAAACAATTGGAGAGGAATCATTGATCCAGTCTTCCCTGCCCCCATTGAGAGGAGTGCCTGATAGCAGGACCTGCTACACCACTCTCCAGAGTGTCATTCTGCCTCCAGAGAGTCCCAAAGAGATACAGCTGAGATAATTGCCAAGATGTGCTTCAGGTAGCTGAATCTAATGCACCTGCCCTGAAGCACAAATGCTGAGCTGCTTCCAAACCTGGGGCGCAGACACAGTTGCCCTGCTGAGATGACCTAACCTTGGCGACTACAATTTTCTGCAGTTTGAATTGTGTTTGCTTTGGAGCTAAGATGCAAACGAAACATCCAAGTGTTTTAATCTTTGGGAAACAGAACTCATTTTGATTAAAATATTAACCCCTATTCACTTAGGAAGGGGGCAGACTGGGGTTTGACTGTTGCTAAGAGACTGGAATTGGTGTTTGATAACAACAATGTCTGTCATTGGACTCTTACTGGAATTGACCTAATATTTGTAACTGCTTATAGATGTTGGGAAAAGTTTTGACACATGCTGTAAAGTGTTTGGGTTTAATGCATATATTGAGAATTTTAAAGCTGGGCGGTGGTGGCGCACGCCTTTAATCCCAGCACTTGGGAGGCAGAGGCAGGCGGATCGCTGAGTTCGAGACCAGCCTGGTCTACAAGAGCTAGTTCCAGGACAGGCTCCAAAACCACAGAGAAACCCTGTCTCGAAAAACCAAAAAAAAAAAAAAAAAAAATTTTAGATTTTGATCCCTTTACAGTGCCCTAATTTTTGGCAGGCAGCACTTGTAATCTTATGTTGGAGTAGGCACTTAGGAAGGAGTATATACCATGGGCCAGACTAAAAGGTGAATACTGGGTTTGGAAGGTGCCCTTTCTTCTTATGTCGGGAGATTGAGTCATTGGTGTCCAAATTATATCTTTACTCAACCTATACGAGATACCTTTTATTTGAGGAGCTCTAAGGACAGGCAACTTGTGGCAGGACCTCCCCCCAACCTAAGACAGGGCCCTGGGAACCCTAGGATGGATAAGGGGGGGAAGACCTGGTCCCCACTCGACCTAAGATGGCCTCATCGCAGGCCATCATTAAGGGCCAAAATCAAAAATATAAATAAAAAATATTGCAGGCCATCATTAAGGGCCAAAATCAAAAATATAAATAAAAAATAACTAATGCTACGCATAAGGCACCCCTCTGTTCCCAGGAGAGGAAAAAATGCTCCACCACTCGAGAGGAGGGTCCCTCCTTGTCCCAGTCCCTTCTCCTCTAGGTCTGACAATGTGGTTAGACTCTGACTTGGTGCCCTCCACTTGATAAGCTGTCGGTCATAATAAAAGGAAGGGGGATATGTCAGGGACAATTGTCCTAAAGATGATAGCAGGGACCATTGTCCTAAGGATGTTTGCAGAGAGCCCCACACCCCAACTATTTAGAGAATTATTTGTTAACAGAACCCGCCCCCCACTCCAACTATCTAGAGAATTGTTGTTGGAATCACAAAAGGAACAGTTCCGCTTACACAGAGAACACTAGGTGTGTTGACTGGTGACCTTTGCTGCCCTGGCAAGGTTCCTTCTTGCCCCTGCCCCCCATCCCAAGCCAAATTCCTCATTCAAGGGCTATATAAGCCACAACCATTACCCTAATAAAGTGAGACCTTGACAACAGAACTTTGCTTGGTCTCCTTCTTCTCCCCTGCCCATGATTCTTTCAGGTAGTGCCTGCCTCTTCAAGACCCTGAATAACTGGACCTGCTGGACGGGTCGTTCAAGAACTGCTGCTGGACACTTTAGCAGATGCTAGGGACATAATGATTAGACACATTAAGCTCCATTTTTAATATTGTATCTGCAAACATTGAGCTTCATAAGTGGGAAGAAGAAATGAATACAATTACTCTAACAGGCAACTTGGGGGGAAGTTGCTACTGACTTTAAGTCTAATCACTTCTCCAAATCATGCCAAAGAGAACAGAAAATGGGCTAGCTGTACATAAACAAAATTACTTTATTTCCAATAAAGACAACACACAGTGAAATGAAAACTGTTTAATCACACAAAAACACAATAAAAAGGCCGTAGAAGCATTACATAGTGCAAACACCCAGGTACAGGGCTATTAACTCAGTGGCACTGTAGGAAATTACACAAAGACACATGGAAACACTTTCCTCCGGCCTCACTAGTAAGCTGCCATTCTTCTCAGTCTATTACCCCTCATTTGCTACTACTGTACTGGCGACTCCCCGCCCAGGATGCCAGGAACTGCCTGTTTCTGCACACCAGCAGAGCATCTTATGCCACCTACTCAAGTGCACATAAAAAGAATTCCTACACAGCAAGGCCTCAGCAAGAACGTTCCATGAGAAAAGGATGTACTGTCCATATTTACATGCACTTCTCAAGGCGTCTGAAGGATAAAAGATAGCATGTGAGCAGAGGACTTACAGTAAGCAACACAGGCTCTGGCAAACAGGCAGCAAGGAGAACTGCTTCCAGAACTCAAGGGCTTCTTAATACAAGCCTCACAGTACAGTCGACTAAGACTATTAGCTTCTTACACCTTCTTCAAGGCAGTAAGTTTTTAAGAGTTGCTCCCCAATAGTCTCCACAACAACCTGAGGTAGAAAGGGGTGGTGTGTATGTTGGTGTTACAAGTGAGAAAAACTGCAGCTTACAACTTTCAGACTAGGCTACAAGCTGCTGGGGTAATCTTTCTTTAATCAGGAGGAAACAATTCATAGCAAGCTACAGACAGTCTTGTTCAGACACTGAAACTTCTACTATTCCAAGTACATTGCATTTCCTATTACTGTGTTAGAGGGGTGGTGTGGCGTCCTTACTGACAGGGAGTGAACGACGGGGAAACAAATGGGCATGCAGAGGGTTGGAAAACTGACCTCAAATTCCTCAGTGCTCAGACAAATCAGCTGTGAACTAATTACCAACCCATCACACACACAAAAGAAGCCATCCAGCTGATCTCAGTTTCCCTCCTCCCTAAGCTCATGGTCCTCTGCAAACACAGACACAATATTGCTTAAGACTGGCCGAAGAAGGACCGTACATACGTACAAAGCAGCTCTAACTACCCAGAGAGAAAGATGGCCTTTGGCATAGAAGCAAGGTCCAAACCCAGTTAACTTCGAACCAGGATAGCATAAAAGCAACCATAAAGGAGAGAGGGAAGGAGGAAGGGGAAATGCCTACAAACATCCAAGTACTTGCTGTTTAAAATACAAAACACCATTGGATAACAAATAAAATGCTCTGATTGGCTCTCAGGTGTCTCAACACAATGCTGATCTTTAGTAAAGCATTTGCCAAACTCTAACAGCACTGAAGGAACTGTCCTGGTAGCACTATTGCCCTTATAGCTTATCTCTGATTCCTCCACCTTCAGAAATGGGGAGTGCTGCTGGCTGTGCTGTGCTGCTAGAAGGGACTAGAGGCTCCTATGCAAACGCAAATAAACAGGGAAAGCAGCACCGTGGATATGAGATCAGTTTTTGTAACATTAGCCATTCAAAAGGCTACTAAGGATGGGTATGGTGACAGATGCCTTTAGGCCTAGCACTCAGAAGGCAGAAACAGACAGATCTCTGTGAGTTTGAGGACACCCTAGTCTACAAAGGTTCTAGGTCAACCAAGGACTATACATGGAGAGCCTGTCTCTTTAATTAAAAAAAAAAAGGAGTGGGGCTATTGAGGGAAGAATAATTTATAGTAAGAGTTTCTTTACTAATGCCACATTCACCAATAATGACATTACTTGGGATTGCACATTTATTACATCAAAAAATCTCAAAATGCCTACACAACATTCTCCCCGAGGAGGGAAGGGCTAGCAGCTCCTCTAAAGGAAGCACATAGTAACTGCAGACAACAAAGAGCTGTCAATAGAAAAAACACCTCCAAACAAACTGGAAACTGCTCCCAAGCTAGGTCTAGGGAGTGAGTCACTTCAACCACTTGTCTCAGATACTCATTTCCAGGTTAGACTCAGAAGGCTCAACAGCTCCTCTCATAAGCATAAACGGCAACTATCTACCCATAAATCTAGGGAATCTGGTGATATAACCTCACCATTCCCTATGGCAGTGCAAAATTCCACCCATCTGTAAACATTGCACACTTTACTTTTGGCACAGAGGACAGCTTCTGGGTTTATCATTGAAGTGAAGAGACTAAACAGCTAATTCTTTATCTAAAATTTCTGAGCAAAGGTAGCATCAATCTAGATAGTGTGAACATACATGAAAGGTTGGTTGGAGGCAATAGTCTTCTTTAGGCTGAAGCAACAATTTAGGCTAAAAGGAAAAATAACAGTCACAGTATCTAAAGCCATGTACTTTCGGAGTTCACAGAACATCATGGGAACAGAACAAAACAAAAACACTGACAAATAGCTAAGCTGTCTGGAAGGTTCTTCCTTTCTAAAAAGAACCAACCAGGTAACATTAAGGAACTGGAAACATTCACCAATTCCTCAATCAAGACTTTTCAAGGGAACCATTACATTGAACTGACACACGTGATCCTGGCTTTCAGAATAAATTCTTTCAAACCATGTAAAGTATCACATACATCTAAATATGCACAAATAATAAACATATTATCACACAATCACAAATGCTTGGCAGTAAAACGTGCTATTACACAATTCTGTGGCAGTTAGAAGGCTGGCTTGGCTGCTCTGATCCACCAGTTCCAGCCCTCACTGGGAAATCTGACATAGATGGGCCAGGGAGGCAGTGACACCAGTGTAAAGGCTTGGCCTGAACTTCTAGTCTGACACAGTGGTAAATACATAAGCATACTAACACCGTATGTAAGGTAACAGGGAAGAGCCTTTTCCAATCACCTGTCAGCTCTGCTCTGATTTTCTGTCAAAGATAGTATGATCACAATACTAACTTAAATGACAACCAAAGTAAGAAACTTAACCAGGACATGCCTATAAACTCAGCACTCGAGAGGCAAAAGCAGGAAGATCACTGCAGGGTTGAGGCCAGCCTGAGATACAGGGTGAGGCCTAGGCCAGTCATAGCTAAACAGCAAGATCCTGCCCCAAAAGATGAGGAGCACTGGGATGACTTAAAATACATTCTATTTTGAATATAATTCTTGGAACTGAAAAGGATTCAGTTCCTAACACCACCTGTGGTCTTAAGGTTGAAGTGTGGTTCAGGGCCTGTAAACATTAGTGGGCAGCACCTAGTAGCTTGGAGGAAGATGCAGTCAGAGATGAAGATGAGGAGGATGTAAAGCTGTTGAGTATGTCTGGAAAGCAATCTGCTCCTGGAGGTGGCAACAAGGTTTCACAGAAAAAAAGGAAAATTTGATGAGGATGATGATGAAGATGAGGAAGCTGAATAAGTTCCAGTGAAGAAATCTGTATAAGACACCCCAGCCAAAAGTGCACAAAAATCAAACCAAAATGGAAAAGACTTAAAACCATCAACACCAAGATCAAAGGGTCAAGAGTCCTTCAAAAAAACAGGAAAAAAAAAAAAACCTAAAACACCAAAAGGACCTAGTTTTGTATAAGACATAAAGGCAAAAATGAAAGCAAATATAGAAAACGGTGGCTCTCTTCCCAAAGTGGAAGCCAAGTTCATTAATTATGTGAAAAACTGCTTCCGGATGACTGACCAGGAGGCTAGTCAAGATCTCCAGCAGTGGAGGAAGTCTCTTTTAAGAAAATGGTTTTAACACTTTGAAATATTCCGTCTTATTTTCTGTAATAGTTGATATATCTGGCTTTTTTTTTTTTTTTTTTTTTTTGAGACAGGGTTTCTCTGTGGCTTTGGAGCCTGTCCTGGAACTAGCTCTGTAGACCAGGCTGGTCTCGAACTCACAGAGATCCGCCTGCCTCTGCCTCCCGAGTGCTGGGATTAAAGGCCTGCGCCACCATCACCCGGCTCTGGCTGTCTTTTTTATAATGCAAAGTGAGAACTTTCCCTACTGTGTTTGATAAATGTTGTCCAGGTTCCTTGCCAAGAATGCATTTTCTAAAATGCCTGTTTAGTTTTCAAGGATGGAACTCCACCCTTTACTTGGTTTCAAGTATGTATGGAATATTATGATAGGACATAGTAATAGTCTTAGATGTGGAAACGGTAGGGAGACAAAAATATACATATGAAATAAACTCAGTATTTTAATAAAGTAAAAAAAGAAAACTCAGTTCCACTCAGGAGGATGGATACATCACAGCCTGTTCTGAAGCAGGAATTATGATTGGTGACATCTGTGATCATCTCTACACTACTTTGTTATTCTCACTACCATGGAGATGTGAATAAAGATGTCTGTAATCAGTCTCTCAAAGAAGCTGCACATCACGCCAAATAGGAGCTACAGGGCTTTTAATACTTGCAGAAGGTAATAGCAAAGGCTTGGCCACTGAGGAAAGACAAATTCTACTTTATAGACAAATTCTACTTTATTTGCTACAACTAGTGAAATTATCAACTGGAGGCAATGACAAGATATAGCTAAGAAAGAACTCCTTTGAAAACTGGTGGTTTGAATGAGAATGGCCCCCATAGGTTCATGTATGATTATTTGATCCACAGTTGGAAGAACTATTTGGATTAGGAGATGTGGCCTTGTTGGTAGGGGTGTGTCACAAGTGAAGGCTTTGAGGTTTCAAAAGCCCATGCCACTCCCAGGGTTCTCTCTCTACCTCCTGCTCTCCAATGTTGGTGTCATCATGAACTAATCCTCTGAAACCATAGCCCCAATAAAGGCTTTCTTCTCTCTGCTGCCTTGGCTGGAGTGTTTTGCCACAGCACTAAAGAATAGCCAGACACCAGTCGGAAGCAGAAATGGGCCACTGCTATGAAAGACCTGGCCACATGGCTTGTTGGAGAAATGTGGAAGACTGGGACTTTGGACTAAGAAAGTGGTTGAAGCTTGGAAGAGAGTAGTGCCAAGAGCCATGTGGTCTGTGGAAGTCTAGATCATGAAGCTTCAGAGGATAACACTTAATTAGCAACTGAGAAAAAGACTATTCTTGGGATGTTTTGGCAAAGTATGCGGCTGCCTTCTTCTGCCCTTGTCCTAAGAAGCTGCCTAAGCCTAAGTGAAAAGTAACAGACTAATTTGACAGAGGAGCCTTCCAAAGAGCTGAATGCTGACTCTGCAGCATAGCTGTTAGTAACAGAAAAGAGCATGTGAGGCAGAAAGACTATCCTATACAGAGTATGCAGGAAAGAGCACCAGGGAGGTTAATGCTGGGAGCCAAGGCTTGCACTCAGAGGCTGAGATTAAGGAGAGGCCTGATATGAAATGGAGGGAGAAATGCCCTCAGGATAAAATCCCACCCAGCTAAATATCCCTCTTGTGAAAGTAAAAAGCCCAAGTGTGACTGGGGGGGGGGGGGGCGCAGGCTCTCCTAAGCAGGTAGAACTTGGCAGTGTAATCTGGCTATAGAGTATTAGAGGATACATGAGCAAGGGGTTGTAGAAACTTCCTCCATGGTTAAAGAGAGCCACTGAGGCCACATAATGAGGAGATTGTAAATGCAGAGGTGTCAGAGTCATGTGTTACCTGCCAAGGAGAGCTGCATACAAGAATGGAAACAGAGAAAGCGTGTTGCAGTCAGCAAAGCAAGAAAGGAAGCATTATCTAAGCACCAGACATGATGACAGGATTTGGAATTGCTCTACTATTCTTTGAATATACTTTTTAGAATGATGGTGCATATTCTGTGCCATTGTGTATTAGAATAAAATTTGCTCTTTTGATTCTGGTTTCAGAAGACTGACTTGACTTTTAAATTATGTCAAAACTAAAACACAGAATTTCTGAGGTTGGACAAATGCATTTTGCACTACCATATAGTCAAAAGCCTATGGGAGCTAGGGAGTGGAATGTGGAGGTTTACATGAGAATGGCCACCACAGGTTCATGTTTGAATACTTGGCCCCCAGTTGTTGGAACTGTTTGGGAAGGATTAAAAGGTGCTGCCTTGGAGGCAGTGGGGGTCAAGGATTTCACAAGGTTTTTTTCTCTGCCTCCTACTTGCAGATCAAGATGTGAGCGATCAGTTATCTGCCATCATGGATTCTAACCTTCTTGAAAGGCAAGCCCAATTAAATGCTTTTATGCCTTGGTGTTTTGTCACAATTGAAGAGTAACTACGGAAAAAATTGGGGGAAAAAAGGAGTAACTATGACAATTAACCCAATAGGCATTTGGTGCAGTCGGGTCTAGTGGGAGGGCAGTGGGGCAGACAGGGAACACAGAGTCAACGCAAAAACACATGCTAACATACCTCCCCTTAGTAGTAATTATAGAAGCCCCAATGCTCTTGGTCCAATAGGCACATCATGGGATTAGTTACCATATATCTCCCCATTTCTAAGAGCAGGAGCCATTGGAAAGGCTGGAACAGCTAGATGTCCCCCAAGTTCAATAGTTATACAGACTTGGTCTTTAAAATGAGGTATTCATATTCCTGGGGAAACACCAAGATCTATCCCATGGGTTCAGCAGACACAGGTAAGTATAAGGGGGCTTCAATGTGAAGATCTTCGGTTTGTATACTAAATTGATGTGGTCTAAAATGACTAAGCAAAATTGAAGATCAATTTGTTTCCCTCCATTTTCACAAATCTAACACTCCCTCTTCTCTCCACTTGTTCAACCCTATCACTGGCCATTGCCTCGGAGTGTGAACAATTCTAGAGGCAAAGTACAAAAACACCTAACCAGCTTCCAGGAGACAACTGCCAAGTGTTGGCTACAAAGCCTATACCTTCTCTTTGAGGAGGCTGTGCGGAGATGTTCACTCCTGTTATTTTATGTAAACCTGAGAGATTCTGCTAGGCATGATGGGACAGCCTGTAAGCACAGCACACAGGTGGGAGAGACACAGACGGTCAGGAATAGAAGGTCATCCTTGGCTACAGTGACTAATCAGATTTGTTTCTTCAGTGTTGGTCCTAGTATTTTTCTAATAACTACCTTAGATTTTGATGTCCCGAGAACATTATATCACAGCAGGGTAGAGTATGAACCAACTAATGCATTACTCTCGGCAGGGAATAAAAGAATGCATTGTTATGTTTGTGTTGGTATCATTCCCACTCAAGATTTAAGATTTGGAAGGAGAACAAAGTGATTTAAGTATCTAACATCAATGAAACCCTCAAACTGATCTTCTAAAATTCCATAAATAAACATATACAATGGGGGTCACACTCATGAAAGATGCTCAATACTGACTCTTTTAAAAACAAAGTCTCACTATATGGCCCAGACTGGCATCAAAATAGGTGATCTTCTGCTCCTGCCTCCAAGAATACTGGTTTTTTGAGAAATTACCTGATCCTAATATTTCTCTGCAACTGACTCAGCTATGCTATAAAAACTTTAATAACCAACTGAATCTCTTTCTTACAAGAAGGACATGAAGCTCCAGCCTTCTTTAGTCTTCTGGCACACTGGAAACACGTCGTCAAATGGCTCGTTCTCCCATGAATAATGTTCCCATCCCGAGGCCTTTTTTCACATAAACTGCATGGCTTCAAGATATTTTTAAAATCTTCCATACTTTCTGTATCTGTTTTCTGTTCAGAAAGGATATCTGCTTGTTCTCTCACACTTGAGATGGTCTCTTGGCTTTCAGAACTATGAGCCAAATCCAAAAACTCCACTGAGTTACAAGGGTTAAACTTGGTATTCTCTTCCTTTAAATACACATCTTTAGGTCTGACAACTGGAGCTGAAACGGTTCTCCGGCAATCGGGGACATCAATTCCTTCATTCTCTTTCTTTTCATGTATGGCAGTGATATTAGATGTGGAGAGAGAATGAGTTAATTTAGAACAATCCGAATACCAATCCTTTCTTAAGGCCCAGCAACGAAAACAATACCTCTTGCTTGGAGAATTAAATTTCTTGCACTCTGTACACTGCCACTCATCCTACAAAAAGTTAAGTGAAGTCGATTAAAAATGTGGTAAAAGAGATGCTAAGAAAAATATGTTCACACACACACAATAACAACAACAAAGCAAAAGTGGAAGATAGGCCAAATTCTCATTTCACTAAGTATCTGTCTAGATAACCCATACCAGTGGTTCAACCTGAGACCTGAACAAATTCAATTCTCCCAGGGAAGAAAATCTTCGAAAGTTTTACATTGATAGTGCCCCAACTGTTCTTTTCAAATCAAAATTTGGCATAACTGTCTTTAAAGGAAGTTGATTGTTTTTGCCTTCTATCCAATTTGGACAACATTTATATTTCTTTTACTTGCTTTCTTCCAGGTCATTTTTCCATTCACAACTTATTCTTTGTCTTGTCAGCGGCTAAAAAATGAAACTTATCAAAGGCAGAGGCAGGCGGATCTCTGAGAGATCAAGGTCAGCCTGGTTTACAAGTTAGTTCCAGAATAGGTATAGCTACACAGAGAGACCCTGTCTCGAAAAACCAAAAAAGAAAAAAAATAAAAAGAGCGGCCCTCATAGGCTCAAAGATTTGAATGCTTGGTCACCAGAGAGGGCACTATTTGAAACAATTAGGAGGTGTGGTCTTGTTAGAGGAAGTGTGTCGCTGAACTCTGAGGTTCCAAAAGCCCAAGTCATGCCCAGTGGCTTTCTCTCTTGCTGCTGCCTACATATACAAATGTAAAACTCTCAATTACTTCTCCAGCACCATATAAATCTGCATGCTGTCATGGTCCCTGCTGTGGTAAGAATGGACTAAACGGCAAACAAGCCCCAGTTAAATGCTTTCTTTTATCAGTTGCCATGGTCATGGTGTCTCTTTACAGCAACAGAACACTGACTAAGACATGGCCTTATTGGGAGGTGTAACTGGGAGCCAGCCTGAGGTTTCAGAAGCCTTCATGTCTTCCCAGTGAGCTCTCTATTTCCTGCTTGCAGTTTATGATGTGAGCAATCAACTGTACCACCTTCTCTTCATTCTATCATAGGCTCTAACCCTCTAGAACTTTAAGAATAATTAAATGCTTTCTTTGTAAGTTGTCCTGGTCAATGGTGTTTTATAAGAGCAACAGAACAGTAAATGATACACAGGACAAATGCCAAGCACTGAAAATGTAGAGGTCATAACTCAACTGCCTAGAATGAGGCAAGAAGCATAGACTAATGATTAAGCTACAACACTCACCAGTTTAGGACCCTTCAATCTTGTCTAAAATGCTATATAAATGCTTTGAAATTCATAATAATTTGAAATTCATAATTAATAGCATGCTACAGTTTGCCATTGCTTTTTTATAGTACATAAAATAGCAGGACTTATTACATCCAATGGCATCTTTGATTTGACGAAATATCATCTATTTGCTTAATAGTTTTTCTGTGCCCAAGTGTCACAGAAGTCTGATTAGGATGAGAACATTTATCTCAGCTATTTGTATTATGGTCAAGAACACTTACTAGACCAATTATGTTCCACTTTATCATTTATCTTTGCAAAGAGATGATTTGCAAAAAATTACCATAACAATCAACAGCAGCAGGGCTAGAGGGTGGCAGTTAACACCAGAAACCTAAAGTTCTATCCCAAAGCAGTGAAATACCCTTTTTATTTAAATCCTAGCATCTGTTTCCACAGTGAGTAAGCTCCAGGGGAGAGAAAGGGGGAGAGGGGGAGGGGGAAGGAGGAAGGAGGGGAGGGAGGGAGGGAGGGAGGGGGGGAGGGAGGGAGGGAGGGGGGGAGGGAGGGAGGGGGGGAGGGAGGGAGGGAGGGAGGGAGGGAGGGAGAAATTCAAAGTATACATTTAGGTTGATTTAACTTATCACATGGCAACAAACTAAAGGCATATTACCTAAAAGCTTAATACTGACTCTTCTTTAGCAATCCCCATTTATATTAACTATGTGGAAATTAAGTTGTTTTTCATTTGCATCTTTTTGTTTGTTTTTGAAGACAGGATTTCTCTGTGTAGCCCTAGCTGTCCTGAAACTCACTCTGTACACCAGGCTAACCTCAAACTGACAGAGTGGCCTGCCTCTGCCTACTGAGTGCACTACCACCAGCAGATTCATTTGCATTTTTTAACAGATGCTGGTAAAATTATTTTTCTAACTCAAATAATTTTATGTAACTTATAAATCTATCCTTAGGATGAGAAAGGTGTTTAAATGAGGGAAAGTAATGGATTGGGGGGGGGGGGCTTAGTGTGGGTTTGGGACTACAGCAAAAATGTGCCATAGGATGTTTGTGGAGGTCAGAGAGTAACTTCGGGTATTGTTCATCATCCACCTTGTCTGAGACAAGGTTCCTGTCATTTGCTACCGCATATGCCAGGCTAGTTGGCCTGTAAGCTTCCAGGAATTCTCCTGCATCTCTTCCTTGTTGGCACAAAAACAAATGCACTACTAACCCTGCCTTTCATGGCTTCTGGGGATTCAAAAGAAGGTCCTAATGCTTCCACAGCAAGTGATTTACCTACTGAAACATCTCAGTATGCCTTGTCCTGGTTTTTTCATTTTGTTTTTTGAGACAGGGTTTCTCTGTGTAGCTCTGGCCATCCTGGAACTCACTGAGTAGACCGGGCTGGCCTCAAACTCAGAGATCCAGCATCTGCCCCAAGTGCTGGAATTAAGATGTGTGCCACCACCATCAGGTTTGTCTATAGTTTTGATAGCGGGAACAGAGGTACTCTGGTCATTTTTTCCCAAGTCAGGGAAAATACTGGATCAAATTATTCATTTATAACCAGGCAGCAGCGGCACATACTTTAATTCCAGCACTGGGGAGGAAGAGGCAAACTGATCTCTATGAGTTCAAGGCCAGCCTGATCGACAATGCAAGTTCCAGGACATCCAGGGCCGTCACACAGAGAAACCCTGTCTCGAAAAACAACAACAACAAAATATTTTTTTGTTTTCAAATTCCAATTAAAAACTTAAGAAGATGAAATGTAGCCAGGTGGTGGTGGCTCACGCCTTTAATCCCAGCACTCTGGAGGCAGAGGCAGGTGTATCTCTATGAGTTCGAGGCCAGCGTGGTCTATAAGAACTAGTTCCAAGATAGGCTGCTATAGAGAATCCCTGTCTCAAAAAACAAAAACAACAACAACAAAAAGAAATGCAAGTAGCATCTTAGCAAGTAGGAAACGACAGCTTTTGCAATGCTGTAATGCATGGGAACTAGGATTCAGCTAAAAATTGGCAACAGCAAAACAGCTTTCACCTCGGAGGTAAGTTCCACATCGGTATCATCACTCAAGGACTTAGGGTCCTCAAGATCATCATCTTTTCCCACATCAATCACCTGTGAAGGTAAACAGACCTCATTAGAAATGCTAACCTTTTTTATGAGAGACTATTAAAGCAAAAGTGATGAACAACTTTAATGCAAATAAAACTCACTCTATCCCAACATTACCACTTAAAAACATATTAACATAAATGTACCAAAACCTTGATCCTATAGACATAAGGCTGACAATTTAGTAACACTAATGGTGATAAAGCACCCACCCACAGGGTTTCCAAGTATCTTCCATATTCAGAAAGAGGTATCCAAATTCACAACTTCAAAGAAAACAAATGCCAGGAATATAAAAGCAGCAATTACTGGCTGGGCGGTAGTGACACATAACTTTAATTCCAGCACTGGGGAGGCGAAGTAAGTGGATCTCTGAGAGTTCTGAAATAGCCAGATCTACATGGCAAACTAATGATTTTTCTCTCGAAAGTTCAAATATTTTAAAACCTGTTCTTTTATATAAAAATTTCCAAACTGTCATCTTCATTTCAGTCACCAACATTCCTTCCAATGTAGTCTATAATTGGTTTAGAGAATCTAACACATATTTATATTAAAAAAAACCAAATTCCTATGAAAAATAATATGAATAAAATAGCCCAATTTAACAGATCATTTGTTTTTGTTGTTACCTTTACCTATTGCTACATTTATTCTATTTTTTTCATCTTTTTTAAAGATCTTTTTTTTCTCAGTAAGTATTCAAAATAATGGATCTCATATATTTTACAGATATAATCAGTGGGTATTAATAAGATGTTTATATGTGCTAAGTGCTAGCTCTGCTGCCCAATTCTTCCAACTGAGCTGCTGTAACTGTGTGTGTACTGAGAGTTCCTTGAGTTTTGTTTTTTGTTGTTTTGTTTGGTTTTATTTTGTTTTAAAGTTTTTTCAAGAAAGGGTTTCTCTGTGTAGCCTTGGCTGTCCTGGAACTAGCTCTTGTAGACCAGGTTGTCATCAAACTCAGATCCACCTGCCTCTGCCTCCCAGTGCTGGGATTAAAGGCATACACCACCACACTCAGCTCTAACTCCTTTTATTTTATGACTATATTTTTAATTATGTGTATGCATGTGGGTTTGTGCATGTCAACAGAGTGCCCAAGGAGGCCAGAAGGGAACATTAGATTCCCTGGAGCTAAAGTAAGAAGCACTGACCCACCAGAATAGGTGCTAGAAAGTGAACTCAAGTTCTCTGGAAGAGCAGCAGGAAGAGCTCTGAAGCACTGAGCCATCTCTCCAACCCCTACCCCCAACTCCCTTCTTCTTTTTTTAAGATTTATTTACTATGTATACAGTGTTCTGTCTCCATGTACGCCTGAAGGCCAGAAGAGTGAACCAGATCTCATTACAGATAGATGGTTGTGAACCACCATGTGGTTGCTGGGAATTGAACTCAGGACCTCTGGAAGAACAATCAGTATACTCTTAACCTGTGAGCCATCTCTCCAGCCCCCCAACTTCCTTCTCAATATAGGAGAAAATCATACTAACTTTAAATATGTCTTAAAATTAGCCTTTTCCAGTTTAGTTATAAAGTGGTTACAAAGCTATCAAGGTTCTTAAAAACATAAGGATTTTTCTCCTATAACAGAAACCACTAAAGGCCATTTAGAGCTATGCCTTATAAGCAAAATTTTCTAGAAAAAATACTCTACAACGGACCATAAGAGGGAAGGAGCAGCATGTCCCTAAAGCAGCAATCCATGAATCTTGGCTCATTTCTAAGGCAGCCTTGTTTAAATTAATCTAAGTCCTAAACTTGGAGAGAAATACTCAACACTACACAGATACCTCTGTCAACAGTTACATGTCAGAGTGAAGATGCTCAAACACACCTTTGTGTCACGTGCTTTCCCCACTTCACTCGTCTGCTCAGAATTAGCAGCTTCAACTTTTATTCCAACACCTAATTGCTCTGACACCGACTCATTTAAAAACCACAAATCATCCGTAGTGTCTGAAACAATGGCAGTACCTATATCCTAACGGAGAAAAACAAAAGTGAGCTTTGTAATCAGTGACTTATGAGAGATGTAGAACCAACTTAATGTCTTCACATGCCATCCAGAGAACACCGTGCCTTTCCTCAACGGTATGTCTTCATTCAGCAGGTCATCTTCTAGTGTCACAAGATACGTAGACATACGGATACCTGACAAGGAACTTTTTCCAGGAATATCAATGACCCAGAGAGCATTATGTTAAGTGAAATAAGCCGGGCTCAAGAAGATATACACTGAATGTTGTCTGTCATATGCATTTCTAGATTTTAATTGTGTGTGTGTGGGTGTGTGTGTGCACGCGCGCGCGCAGGGGGGGAGGGGGGTGTTCATGAAACTATCAAGGCAAAATATTAAGGGGGTTAGAAGACAGTCATGGAATACATGTACATGTGATATGAAAACAGAAAGGGAAACTACTGAAAGGAGAGAAGGAGACTACCGGGTGGAGGACACAGGGAGGGAGTGGGGATGGAGGAACATTAAGAATAAAATATTGAGGGCTGGAGAGATGGCTCAGAGGTTAAGAGCACTGCCTGCTCTTCCAAAGGTTCTGAGTTCAATTCCCAGCAACCACATGGTGGCTCACAACCATCTGTAATGGAGTCTGGTGCCCTCTTCTGGCCTGCAGGCATACACACAGACAAAATATTGTATACATAATAAATAAATAAATATTTATTTAAAAATAAAATAAAATATTGAACTCAGGACCTTTGGAAGAGCAGGCAATGCGCTTAACCTCTGACCCATCTCCCCAGGCTCAGCATGCTGACAGAGCTCTGTGAGTTTGAGAACAGATTGGTCTATACTGTTAAGTTCCAGGACAATAAGTCAGGGCTATATACAGATCCTGTCTCACAAAAAACAAAAGCAGCAACAAAAAGTATCATCAATGGTATTACCTAAATGAGAAGAACCCTATAATATCAACTTATCAGGTGACCACTGGTGCAATAATTGTCTACTATGGGGGTAACCAACCGTCTTAGTTAAGGTCCTATTGCTGCAATGAAACACCATGACCGGGCTGGAGAGATGGCTCAGCAGTTAAGAGAACTGGCTGTTCTTCCAGAGGACCCAAGTTCAATTCCCAGCACCCACATGGCAGCTCACAACTGTCTGTAACTCCATTTCCAAGGTATCTGATACCTTCACACCAATGCACAGAAAATAAAGTTAAATAAAATTATTTAAAAAAAATGACCAAAAGGCAAATTGAGGAAAAAAGGATTTATTTGTCTTACACTTCCACATTGTTGTTTCATTGCTGAAGCAACTCAAACAGAGCAAGAAGGCAGGAGCTGATGCATGGAGGGGTGCTGCTTACCAGCTTGCTTCACACGACTTATTCAGCCTGCTTTCTTACAGAACCTAGGACCCCAGCACCACACACATTGGTCACTAAAGAAAATGCCTTACAGCTGGATCTCATGGAGATCCTCAACTGAGGCTCCTTTCTCTCTAATGACTCTAGCTTGTGTCAAGTTGACACAAAACCAGCCAGTACACAAACCACTTCCTGATTACATATGAGAACCACTCCACAGAAGGGAATTCATGCCTAGTTCTGGAACCCAAGACTGGAGAAATGGTTCAGTGGTTAAGAGTACCAGGTTCAAGTTCCCAATAGCCACATAATAGTTCAAACTGTTGAGACTCTAGTTCCAGATCTGCACCCACGCCTCTAGACTCTGAGGGTACTGGCACACACGGCACACACAGCACACACACAATAAGTACTTTTTTAAAAATCAAAAATATTAGAACCAAGAAATGTAGCTGTGGTGTAAAACTGCCCAGCTACCTACAGGAAAAACAGTAATGGCTTAAATTGGGTTATGACAGTTAAAGCAGTTTTTAAAAAAAAAAAAAAAAAAAAAAACCAGCTTCCGATGTGTTCTTGATAAAATCCTGACAACCTCAATGCATTTTGACAGAGAAAGAAGTCAGTATTTCCTATAGTTTGGCTAAAATTATTAGTAGAAAGAAAAGATAGGGAAGGACTGCTTGGTTAAAACAAACACTATTTTCATGTTCATGGTCAGTAAGACTGACCACCACTTATGTAGGGGATTCACAGTGGAACTTGGAAGAGTCAGTACTAGATCTGGGCATCATATTCATACAGATAAAACAAGACAGTAAGAATGCTTAGCTAAGGATGAAATACAGTCAGAGTAAGCAAGAATAAAACAGTACGAAACAAAACAGCTCCCCTCAGATTTGACTTTTACCTGATTTGTCTGTAAATCCGTCGAGCCATTACTTCTAGGTACATAGTTGTTTCTCAAGTTCCCTAAAAACCACCATGGCAGGCCAGCAATATCCCACTCCTCAAAGTCAAGGTCCAGCCTAGATGTCTCATCTTGAGTTAAATGTTCTATTAAATCTTCATCTACAGAAATCAAATAAAAATAACTATAGGTAATCAGAAACGACTAAGATTTTCTCAGAATACTTAACAATCTTTGTAAAAAAAAATAAACAGAAAATGTTCTCAGTAAGAAAGAAACAGAAATAAACACCTCAGTAGCACGGCTCAAATATCCCACTTAGGTTTCATTAGCAAGCAGTAACACTATGAGCTAATCACTTCAGGACACGAAACTCTAAAAGCATCTCAACACACTGTTCTAAAAGGATTTCAAAAAAATGACCATTTTCTAAAATTTCAAACATTTCTAACACTGTAATGTAATTCCTAACAAAGGTAATGACTACAGCCAAGCATGGTGGTACACGTCTTCCTTTAATACCAGCACATAGCAACGTCCAAGTTAGTCAGGGCTACATAGTGAGACCTGGTCTCAAAAGCACACAATAATAACAATAATGACTTACTCTAATACACGTTTTGATAATGGCTTAGCCAATGGATAGCAAATGGTAATAACGCAGCAGCCCAACCCGAGATCAAAGCAGGGTGGTACAGATCCCTACAGGGAGTAACAAAGTTAAGTCTTACTGGTGTCAAATATTTAGGATATTTATCAGTAACTCTTATGTTTTGTTAGGTAACAACTATCGAAAGAGAACTCCAAACTGTCCAAACAAATACATGTATGTCTTTTCTGGATCAAGGGCTCCTTGAAAGATCAGTACCTAAAAGTACCGCAGATGACAAGGCTCCACGTATTTTTTTAAATTGTAACATTTTTATATACAAATCTTTATTATAAATTAACACATATAATATAGACATAAATATATGCTGACGTATATAGGTTTTGATCTTTTTTTGTTTTAAATAATGTACCAGTGACCGGGCTATGGCAGCCGCTGAGAAGAAACAGCTCCCATGCAAAAATCACAGGATTTCTCTGGCCCATTGTATACACTAGAAAGCTGTACCTATACAACAGCCTCCAGCAACCACAGGGCATCCACATATTTTAAGTAAGGACTTTGACAGTTACTAAGTTCACTCTTGTTGCCATACGTAATCTTTTCTAGTCCTTTTAACAATTCACTCTTTCCCTATTTTCTCACCGACTTCTACCTCTTACCAATGCACTGGACCTGGCCATGGCAATCACAGAAGCACAAATGTGCCCAGGCACATACGATTCAGAGATTTCTGCAATAAACTGGTCCCTGTTAGAACACAACTAATTAATTACATCCTGCTACTATCTTAGGTATATTTGTGGCCAGAGAAGCTTCAACTACATTTTCATCCTTTCATTACTGTAATGATCAGAAACTAATTCCCAAGAAAGAATCATTAAAGTTATCCTTGGTTATATTCAAGTTCTAGAATTATTATAAAAAGAATATGTATAATTCTTCCCACAGGTAAAAATGCTGTCCTTTCTACCTATAGATCTTCCTGGAAATCCTGGAACAATTCATTCCTCAATTTCTATCACAAATAATGTCTTGAGCTATATTTTAAAAAGCTTTTTGTGATTAGAAAATAAGATCTCCCCCCTCCCCGTACCTGAGGCAGGGTTTCTCTGTAGCCTTTTGGTTCCTGTCCTAGAACTAGCTCTTGTAGACCAGTCTGGCCTCAAACTCACAGAGATCCACCTGTCTCTGCCTCCCAAGTACAGGGATTAAAGGCGTGAGCCATCACCGCCCGGCAGAAAATAAGATTTACAATTAAATAAAAGCAAACATTTAAGACTAAAATAACTTCAATGTAAACACATAGATTAAAAAGCAATTTATATTCAAATATAGTGAGAAAACAAGCTAGCATGATAAACTATTTCAAATTTAATTTAAACATATAAAACAACTTTAGAACTTAATAACTTTTTGAGATATTATTAAAAATCTAATCTGCCTTTAACCCAATTATGAACCAGGAACTAGATACTAGAAAGCATTATGACATAGCTAAATACCTTTAGGGAAATTTAAGGTTTTGTAAAAAGAGAGACAGAGAGAGAGAGAGGGAGGGAGGGAGGGAGAGAGGGAAGGAGGGAAGGAGAGAAGGAAGGGGAGGAATGGGAAAGGAAAGAGAAGGAAAGAAAAAGAAAAATTTCAGAAATTTCAGAAAACATTTTAGGAGAAACTTCCAAATTATGAGTTAAACTCACTCACCCTGACCATGTGCCTGACAGGATAAAGGCTCTACCAGTGTGACACACAACTACTCAACATGCAGACTAGTGTTTGCCTCTGCACTGTTGAATATATTGTGCTGCTACATATATTTTGCCATTTTTGCAAGCTTTAAATCTTTAAAAATTAGTTTCCATCTGAAAAGATAAAAGCCAAGCCAGAATAAAAAGTCTAGAGAGGGCAACCGAAAGTCAAAAAGCCGTGTACACACTGAGTCTACACACGATCAGCGTCCTCTCAAGCTCACTACCTCAAGCAAGGATCCTGTACTTCCCACTGTCCAGAAGCTGCCAAAGAATACCTACTATTGGGGCTGGAGAGAGGACTCAGAGGTTAAGAGCACTGGCTGCTCTTCCAAAGGTCCTGAGTTCAATACCTAGCAACCACATGGTGGCTCACAACCATCTGTAATAAGATCTGGTGCCCTCTTCTGGCCTGCAGGCATACATGGAGGCTGAACAGTGTGTACATAATAAATAAATTTTTTTTTAAATATTTATTTATTTATACATATGAGTGCTCTATCTGCATGTATGCCACCATGACAGAAGAGAGCATCAGATAGAGGAGGGCACCAGATCTCATTACAGATGGTTGTGAGCCATCATGTGGTTGCTGGGAATTGAACTCAGGACCTCTGAAGGAGTAGGCAGTGCTCTTAACCACTGAGCCATCTCTCCAGCCCAATAAATAAATTTTTAAAATAAAAAATACCTAGTATCTAGATAGATGCCTGCTGGAAGCTGTGCAGCCTAGTTTTGTGTGCTTGTCCAACAGGTCTCCAGAAGAGGCAAAAGCCCACGGGTAGAGTCTCACTTGGCAAGGACCAGGACAGAGCAGAATACTGCTGAGACTGCACAGCTTACATGTGTTCTTCTCTCATAGCTGATGATTCTCTTGGCTGTCTTTTTTTTTTTTTTTTTCGAGACAGGGTTTCTCTGTGGCTTTGGAGCCTGTCCTGGAACTCAATCTGTAAACTAGGCTCACCTCAAACTCACAGAGATCTGCCTGCCTCTGCCTCTGCCTCCTGAGTGCTGAGATTAAAGGCGTGTGTCACCACTGCCTGGCTCTATTGGCTGTCCTAGTGTCATTTTTCAGTCATTCATGGGACAGATGTAATCATTTCAGGAAACCCCATTTTTTTCTCAAATATCTTCCCTAAAATTTTTTGGGAGCTGATGCTTCTCGGGTTTCTTGTCTGGAGATGCCCATGGTCACTTCAGACCCCTGGAGCTGATTCTGTGCTGACAAGATCAGAGGCAGATCATCCCTATTTCTGTAAATATGCTTTGAATGGGATTGTTGTTCTTGAAAATATGTACCTGCCTGGTTTAAAGATGTTTTGAAGGCAAAGAAAGACAGATCTCTGTGAGTTCGAGGTCAACCTGGTCTCAAGCGCTAGTTCCAGAACATGCTCCAAAGCTACAGAGAAACCCTGTCTCAAGAAAACAAAATAGGGCTGGAGAGATGGCTCAGAGGTTAAGAGCACTGGCTGCTCTTCCAGAGGTCCTGAGTTCAATTTCTAAGAGACCTAGTGCCCTCTTCTGGCAGGCAGGCATACATGCAAACAGAACATTGTACACATAATAAAATAAATAATTTTTTTAAAAAAAGAAAACAAAATAAAGATGTTTTTGATGTAGAAGTTGGGAGAAAACATTTGACATTTCTTTTTGCCAGAGGTTAATGTTGGAGGATGGGAAAAACTTGTTTGTTAGTATGGAAAAACATGCTTGATTCTTGTTTTTTTTTTAAGGAATCTTTTTTTAATTTATTTATTTGTATTTTATGTACATTGGTGTTTTTGTCTGCATGAGTGTCTGTGTGAGGTGTTGGATCCCCTGGAACAGGAATTACAGACAGTTGTAAGCTGCCATGTGGGTGCTGGGAATTAAATTCGGGTCCTCTTGAAGAGCAGACAGTGCTCTTAACCACTGAGCAATCTCCCCAGCCCTTGATTCTTGTTTTTTTTTTTATGTATAAAAGGCAGGGCTGTAGTTATTCACTTGCGTGAAACTCATCTGCTAGTTCTTCACAGAGACGCACCTTCTCCGTCTCAGGACCTGAACGTAGGCTGCGCACGAAAGCAGCAGATGCCATTTCTAGAAGTTCCAATGAAGGAGAGAAGGAGAGTCCTAAAACAATATTTACCTCCTTTAGAATCTCTGCTTTTACATTGTGAGGTAGGCAGTGTATGAGTATCATCTTCTGCAGTTCTTTTTCTGGAATTGGAGCATCCTGATGCACTGTGCTGAAAGGGAAGGGTGTCTATCAGTACAGCAGAAATGACTAAGACCAGGGGATGTAGCAGTTCCATTCTGGCTCACCAATTAGTGTGCAACACAATGGGTTATGCACAAGAAAGAGAGCTCTGCAGCTGACAAGAGTTGTCAAGTAAAGCAACACAACACCTCTCAACATCACAAGAAGAGCTAGCAGGATCTTGGGGAAGGAATAACCTCTGTACAAAGGACAAAATACACTCTTAAAAAACAGGTTGTCTGCACAGCCTACTTCATTTTAGGCATAATTCAGAAAGCACGAGACATCCTCACCATATTCCACGATGATCTTAAAGTTTCCCCAGGTCTGAGGAAACTAGGAAATGGTATGACATGAACTGAACTGCAACAAGCCTGCTACAGTCTAATACAGCAATATCTCAAAAACCCAATATGTACCATCTTAAACACAGGCATGCACGCACATACACATGCGCACAAACACACACACACACACACGAGAGAGAGAAAGAAACAGAGAGATAGAGAAAGACGGAAAGAAAAAGAGCAACTGGAAGAAGTGAAAATCAGAAGTGCTACATCCCAAGACACATTCAGAGACTGGAACTCTGTTAAGGGCAGAACAGAGAAGGTTCACTCTGTCCCTGGTCTGTGAACTCCCAAGGACTTTTCTTACTAAATTCTTACCACATTCACGAAAAGGCCTTGGGAGCCCAAGATCCACAGGTACAGAGAAGGGGCCACTCTGTACAAGAAAAGAAGTCACCACATGGTGATTTTACCTTCAGTCGGTCTTGACTTGGAATATCCATACTGTGATCCTGTGCGAGAGCGAGAGTCTGAGCAGCATCTGGATAGCAAGTAAAACAAAAGAAAACCTTCCCTGGTAATAACCATTCTTTCCACAAAACCTCAGCAGACAGCCCTGAGGAGGCTTCTTCTCTATAGATGGACTTCTGCCTGGAAAAGACTCTCAGTCCCAAGATGGGGAAAAAAACCAAAACTGCTAAAAATGACAAAAAACAAGACAGGCCATGGTAAAAGATAACACCAGAACAATCTGGGGGAAGCAAAAGTAGCCAAAGATGCTCTTCCATGGCATGTGTTCAGATTCTTATGCAAAAAGTGACCTCAAGAAGAAAACAATGACTTGATTGGGGGAGGGGGAGAGAAATGAGAGGCAGTGGCGGGGAGGAGGCAGAAATCCTTAAATAAATAAATTAATTTAAAAAAAAAGAAGAAAACAATGCAGTGTTCATCTCTTCCTGTAGCAACAAAGTGCCTACCTTATCAACAAAGGTTACTGTTTGAGTTTGTATTTTTAAAGGCTGTACTACAAGATCTGAAAACCAGAAATTTGCCAGACTTGTTTCAGAAAACAGTTCCATCTTCAAGCTAACCTGGAACCTGCATTCTTAAATGCCAATGGTGATTTCATGATCTGACTTCCAATCCCTGAGTACAGACTGGAAGTGAATGTTTCTCTCTGAACAATCACCAGAAGTAGAGAGAAGTAGGGGAGAACACAGTTGAGAGAAACCCTTTGTCTCTAGAGTTTTCTCATCTACTGTCATTGTAGAATGGGCACACGTGTCACACTTGCACTGTGAGGGTCAGAAGACAACTTTGGGAGTTCGTGTCATCAGGCTTGCACAAGTCCTTTAACCACTGAGCCATCTCACATTAGCTGAAGAGGGAAATACACCCCAAGGACTTACAAATTCTCAAGTGAAACAAAACCTGCCAGGACTACAAGACATGACTACAGAAAAGAACAGCTACTGAGATGCTGACACAATTACTATAAGCTCCGTGTAACTGAGACACATTCAAATGTGACTGCTGAGGACGGGATTCAGCAGCCACTAGCAGAGCCAGAAAGATGAGTTCATGGAAAGCAGCAGCAACATCCGCCTGACTGCTGAGAACTCAGATCCAGACTCTAACTACTCTGACAACTCAGTCGATTTTTACAAAACAAACATTTTTCAAAATTGTAACATTTCTATAGCTAAGTGAGGACAAGTTCAGAGACAACATGTGAGTGGTGACAATTGAACTGTTTCTGGCCAAAGTCATCTTCAAAGCAAGATCAAACTAATGCAACGCAGGTGAAGTTGCTCTCTAAAAGAAAAAAAAAGCCACCTGTGGTCACTTGTATTACTAAAAAGCCTTACTTTAGGCCAAACTACTTAAAAGCAAAAAGAAATTATCTAAAACAATGTAGAAAGAAAATTCAAACTAAGCTTGTTATATCTATTTCATTTTATTAGTGTACCTGGAGAAAGTTGGAGAAATTATTTAGAGAGAATTATCTTCATTTTAAATAATGACCATTTTCTTCAACAGTCAAAACAGATAAAGGTCAATCCAGCACTCAGGGAGGCCAGCCTTGTCTACAGAGTGAGTTCAGGACAGTCACGGCTGTTAGGGAAACCCTATCTCAGGTGGGGGGGGGGGAAGCAAAAATAAATAAATAAACAAACAAACAAACAAACAAGGTCTAAACCACTTGCAATGTTGCAGAAGTTATAAGGAAAGCACTTTTTCCATTTGTCTTTTCGCATCAACAGAGACATCCAACCATAAGTACTAATTATAAAAGCAAGTCAGAGCAGACAATCCAAACTTCTTGCAAAATTCTCTATGAAATCCTACATACATACATAAAAAATGTGTAACAATACATTTTTTTAATGCTTGAAATAGTTCCTTATAGTAATTTTCTAGGGCATCAGTAAGTTATGACTATGTTACATATTACCAGTGAGGAAATCTGGGTAAAGAGCATGCTAAATACTTTAATACTTTTTCCTTTTCCCTGAGACTGGGTAGCTATGTAGCCAACACTACTAGGCTGGAACTTTAGATTCTCCATCTCTGCCTCCCAAGCAATGGAGTTACGTTACAGGTGTTCACACTATCAGGATTCTATGACTTCAAAAAAAAGTACAAAATTTCTTCAGAATGACGAGTTAAATACAAAAATTCCAACAACTTAATATTAAGAGGAAAAATGTGGATCCAAAAACCTGGGAGAGTGCAGCAAATTCCGTTAGAGTTAAGAAGGGTAGGGACGCACTGGTATGTGGCACAATGGAGAGTGCAGGGACTGGCCAGTGACCATGAGTCTGATATAGGCAAATCACTGACTGGATTGAAAACAACAATAAACCTTCTATGTCTTTACCTCTAGGACCTCTTCACAGGGTGGCTGTAAAGATGAACTGAATTGTTAAATGTTCTTTATCTTTATAGCACACTATAGAGAAAGATATATGCAGAAACGGTACAAGAAAGAAAATAAGGGGTGGGGGAGTAAAGTAAGAATACGCTCACTCTAAATATTCAGAGGAAGGATCAAAAATCAGATTTAACTGAATATACAAAGTTATAAAACCCTTCATGTATTTCAAACCATCAGTGACTTCAAAGCAAGTTTTAGTTCACAAATGACTACATTTCAAGAAAGCTGCCTCTCGTTTGAAGCTCCCCCTCTCAATGTCTTTCACTGACATGAAAAGAGATTTAGGAAGATTCTTCCATGAACATCAGTAAACTCTAGCGAGATAGTATAAGATGGACGGTGTTCCTCAAATCTAACTGAGGCCAACTGGAAAAATGGCTCAAATGTTAAGAGGTCCTATTCCGAGCAACCACATGGTGGCTTATAACCATCTGTAATGAGATCTGGTGCCCTCTTCTGGCCTGCAGGCATATATGCAGGCAGAACACTGTAAGCATAATAAATAAATAAATCTAAAAAAAAAAATCTAACTGAGGCAAACTGAAGAGGAGACAGTTTCACTATCCAGAGTGACAAACTGAGGAGGAGACAGTTTCACTATCCAGAGTGACAAACTGAGGAGACAGTTTCACTATCCAGAGTGACAAACTGAGGAGGAGACAGTTTCACTATCCAGAGTGACAAACTGAGGAGGAGACAGTTTCACTATCCAGAGTGACAAAGAGTGTTACACACATCAGTACCATCTCTACCTGACCACTTTGGAAACCAGACTCCAAAAAGCCAGTTTTCTCCTCATATTAATACATTCAAAGGCAGTATTTAAAAGGTCTGGAAAGAGTCAAATTGGCTTGGAGAGAACAATTTATTGAGCCAAATGTAGTGGCTCAAGCCTGGGATCACAACATTTATGAGGTTAGGATAGGCACTTATTCCCAAGTTTAAGGCTAGCCTGGGGTACACAGTAAGTTCCAGGCCAACCTGAACTACAATGTATGACTTCTGCCTCATAAATAAGTAAAGAAATGTATGTTACATAAACAAATTACTAAAATTATGAAGGTGGAAATTTCTTAGGAGAACCTTTATTATACTAACAAGAGTCCACAGAATCATATGTGAAATACGGACAGGCTTATGTAACTAATGTGAGATGTATAAAGGGGAAAAAAAGAGGTCCAAAGCACCGTCAATGAAGATCTGACAGCAAAGAAATTTAAACCTGAATCTATACAAACATTATTCTAAAACAGCAAGGGTAAAGAAACACAACCACAAAGATACAATCCACCAATTCTAGAACACAGGCAATCCTACAGACAAATTACCCGAACTGTCAACAAATATGATGAAAACCAAAAGGAGTATTCCACACCACAATACAGTGGACACAGTAATTTACTAAATATTTTAATAGCTAGAGGTGGAGATTTTTAATGCCTCCAACACACACAAAAAGCTAAACTTGAGATGGTAGGCATGTTACTTCTCCCAAACTGATCACTGAACATTCTGTATGTAACAAAATACATGGAACCCACAAATATGTACAATTATGTAAATTCAAAAAGGTTATCAATTTAGTCAAACCAAATCTCTCTCAAACACACCCACATACACAAAAAAGGCAAGTTAGCTTTTTGTTTTTTGCAGTTATTCTCAGTCCAATATATGGACTCTGATTCCACACCTGAACAAACCAAAAATAAAAGGTATTTTTAAGATGACTGAGGAAACACTATAAACTAGCTTATTTAATAGGATGAGGAAATATTTATTAATTTTATTAGTACTGTACACTGAGTACAGTAATGACATGATTACGTTTGAAAGGAAAAAAACCCCTATCTGAGAGATTTTTTTTCAAGTATATAAAGATGACACTTGTTTATAATTACTAAATTTAAGCTAGGCCTGCTCCCACAGATCAGGAAATACAGCTACTGGAAGACAGAGGCAGGGGAATCCACAAATTCAAGGCCTTCCTGGGCAACTTAAGGAGAAACTGTCTCAAAACAGTAAACAGGAAGCTAGACATGTAGGTCAGGGTTAGAGCATATAAACACAGGCCCTAGGCTCAATTCTCTGTGACGCATAGAGGAAAAAACTACATCTACAATGTAGGCATCTCTCCTAGCTTCAGTATGATGGAAGGTATCAGTGAGAACTTACTCAAAAGTAAAACCATTCTACATGAGTTATACATACATCCCTCCCAGTCATGACAGACAGCACTCCATTTTCATCTTAACCCTTGTTCCCGCCATTTGCTTTCTTAAACTCAAAGCTTCAATACAGACTGAAGAAACATACAACATACCTGTGTTAACGGAGGCTGATGTGACAAGATTCTTTCTCAACATATCATAGAGCGGGCTGTAAAAGAAACATATAAATATTTGTGGTTTTTTTAAGTATACATTAAATATACCTGTGATATGTTACCTTCCTACTTTCTCTTAGGTAAACAGGCACAATCCTTTTCCCACAATTTTTTAATAATAATTTATATATTAAGAAGGAACCAGGCGCCGGGCAGTGGTGGCTCAAGCCTTTAATTCCAGCACTCTGGAGGCAGAGACAGGTGGGCCTCTGTGAATTCAAGGCTAGCCTGGTCTACAGAGTGAGTTCCAGGGCAGCCAAGGATACACAGAGAAACTTTATCTCAAAAAAGCAACAACAACAACAACAAAAAAAAAAAGAGGAGCCTCACATAGTTGTGCTTGCATCAAACTCTGGTATTTGGGAGGTTCTTCAGGCCAAAAGATCAAGTTCAAGGTTATTTGCTTAGAAACCAGGTAATACAGTGTGTGTTTAATCTTTTGAAAACATCTCATTCTACTGGGCATTTTTTTTAAGTTTTTTTTAATTAATTTATTTATTTTGTTAACAGTGTTCTGTCTGCATGTTATGCCTGCAGGCCAGAAGAGGGCACCAGATTTCATTATAGATGGTTGTGAGCCACCAGGTGGTTGCTGAGAATTGAACTCAGGACTTCTGGAAGAACAATCAGTGCTCTTAACCACTGAGCCATCTCTCCAGCCCCCTCTACTGGGCATTTTTATCTGTGAATTGTCAAGATAATTCTTCCAAGATGTACTATCTAATTGACAATAATAATTCTAGCTTATACAGAGTTTTGACAAACAAAAATAAATTCAAGGAAATGCTACATAATCAGGGCCTGTGAGTTTCACCTAAGTAGCTGCATAGATTGTAGCTCAAATTAATGATTAACAATTGAGTCCCACCAGGCAGTGGTTGGGCATGCCTTTAATCCCAGCACTTGGGAGGCAGAGGCAGGTGGATCTCTGTGAGTTCGAGACCAGCCTCGTCTACAAGAGCTAGTTCCAGAACAGGCTCCAAAGCTACAGAGAAACCCTGCCTCGGAAAACAAAAGCAAACAAATGAAAAGAAAAAAAACAAAGCAATTGAGTCCCATTAGCCCAGCTAGTTTAAATTCTTTAAAGTTGTGAGATGCGTTCACAGGTCTCGGAGTGTATCACAACTGAAACAAAACTTTGAAAAATAACTAAGTTAACTAAGATCTTTTTGTTAAATAACTTTGAGGTGAAAAACCCAAGAAGACAATCTAAAGTTTTAGAAAGGCATAGAGTTGAATGCAGAACTCTTCAAGGTCAGGAACAAGAACAAAGCAGCATAACTATTAATAGCTGATGTACTTTTTCCTTGCTTGGTTTGGCTGATGATCAAAGGTGATGAATAGTTCCTTATACCCATTTCTGCCCTCAATCTCCTGATATAAAATACTATTGATGAATGGGTATGCACCCTAAAGATTTAAAGTAGAGCTGATGCTTTTTCATATATTAAAAGTTTAGTATTGTGATTCCTTTAAGATTCCTTGTAAGATTACCTTTCTAGATCAGTAATAAAGTAATTGGTCCTTTCTTCATAACTGCAAAATGCAGCCTGCCAGTAAAATACCTGACTGAGAATACCTTGCTTGCTTACACAGTTAATCTATAACAAGTTGCTTGGGTATGAATGTATGTGAGTTACTGGGATAATTTGTTTTTAACCTATAATACGCAAAATGTTTAACCATGTAAGGAATACGGGAAACATGCTGGTTTTTTGGTTTTTTTTTTTTTACTGTTTTTGTAGTCACTGTAATCATTTACTTGAAAACCAGAATAACCACACTGTAATTCCTATACTGCCCGAAAAAACTTTGTTGGGATATATAAACTGTAGAAAAAAGTATACAGTAGATAGAACAGAGAGAGAATAAAATAAAGAAGGAAGCCATCAAGAGTGTATGAGTCTTTTTCCCTAAACCCCTCAGACAGGAAAGCCTTAGCCTATGCCGACTCCATGGATTCCTTTCAAAGCCCTGTGCTGCTGGATGCTGGGCCCCAGACAACAGTAGTTAATTCTTAGCAGCATACTGATTTTGAGCCTCCCTTAGGATAATGTGAGACCCTGTTTAAAAAAAACAAAAAGAAATGAACGTCCAGTCCCTGCTATTTTGTCCCCAGTAAAATTTGATCAAATTTTATTAACTATTAGTAACCCAGTTGGGAGACTACCTTTGAAAATCATTCTCTCCTCCTAGATGTCAAGTTTTACATCAGTGATTGAAAACGGGAGTGTGAAAGGAAGCTTCAGAAGAAGCACTCACTATTAAAGAGGGTGAGAGTGGGACAGACAGACAACTCAGCTGAAGAACACTGATTGCTCGTACAGAGAAACAGTTCAATTGTTAGCACTCACATGGTGGCTCACATCCATCTGTAGCGTCAATTCCAGGGGATCTGACACCCTCTTCCGCAAACATAAACATGGGACACAGACATACACATGCAGGCAAAACACTCATACACATGAACTAAAACTTTAAATTAAAAAAAAAATGTTTTAAGAACACTAGCTTCTCAGTTAAGCCAATTGACCCTATACACCACCAAGTAAGCAAAGAACACCATATAGGTCAAATTTACTCTACTTGATTCTTACTGAACTCACCATGAACCTCAAACTTCCCTGTAGTTCTGTATTTTTCTATCAGCTTCTTCCTTTCTCTCTAACACCTCACAGACTTCTAACCTAGTGATGGTTCCCTCCTATTCAACCTATATACAAGATATTCAGTCAGAAGCTCTCCTTCCAATCAGTCCCTCTAGAAACTGCTCCAGCTCAGCACAAACTTTGCTTCTTAAAGGCACCTCTGACACTCCATTTCCTGTTTCATGTACTTCTCTTCCATAGCTCTTACTGCCATGTTATTTTACCATGTATCAAGACTGTACTGTATGTACCATCAAATCAGACTGCCCACACTTCTCACTACTCATCTTTGTAATGTATCTCACTGGCTATTTAACACATTCATCCCCTAAAATACTAAAACAAACAGGTATACAGCTAGAGAGTGAGCAGGTATAAGCACTCAAAGATATGTAAGAAACCCTTGCCCTTTTTACCTTGGATCTTTCACAGAAAAGCTCTGACGTCCAAGCAGATCTCCTAAAAGATCTCCACCACAATATACCATATGTTGCTGCTGTTGATCATAGAGTTGTTTCACCATTATATACTGGCCTAGAAAGTGCATTACCTACATGAGAATAAAACACCATGAAATGATCCACCTGGCTACTACCAAAACCATAATTACCCATGAGTGACTTAGATATTTTGCTGAAAGAGAAAGACAATACAAGACTGCCCGTGTTTGAAAGCCGATGGCATATAAGCAATCCCCAGTCAGGATAGATGTTTCCTACTACTAGGTTCATATACTCATCCATCAACAGAGCCAGATTTTTACACCAAAAACTACTGATCTGACAGTGAAAAAAAAAATGTGGCAAGGTAGTGTTCTATTGACAAAGGTCCAATGTTTAATGAACCATCAGTCCCAATATAAAAATCAGAGCTGGGTGGTGGTGGCACACGCCTTTAATCCCAGCACTGGGAAGGCAGAGGCAGGTGGTTCTCTGAGACTTTGAGACCACCCTGGCCTACAAAGTGAGTTCCAGGAGAGCCAGGACTACGCAAAGAGATCCTGTCTTGAAAAAAAAACAAAACAAAATTTAGGTCTTATTTGTTAAATAAAAATGTAGTCTATCTAGCTTTTTCTTTACAAATTTCAAAAGCTCAAAAGATTCTAAACTTGAAAAGTGCCCTTTTACATGTAGATGAAGCATAACATAGAACTTTAATTATATAATCTAGGTTGATACACTGTTTGCCAATAAACCTGGATAAATTTTATGACAAACAGAAAGGGAGGGAATGAAAGGGGAAAGGGAAGAGATGGGGGAGAGAGATATCTACTGAAATATTTTTTAGTGCTTCCATTGTTTATTTCCCATCTACCCTCCCACCTGACCCTGAAAAGTTTTTAAAGGTAGGTTAAAAAAAAAAAAAAAAAAAACCCAAACTTTTTACTCAATAATTCAGTTCTTGTTAAATATCACAAGCAAGTAAAAAACATCTGCAGTCTTGGCAATAGTACTAATAATAGATATAGCACTTCTAAGGAAAAACTAAAAGAGCTCCATAATTTTGTTTTCTGCTAAGAAAAGGTAAAGGGTCTACCATAATAACTGCAATTGTTCGGGTACATTAACATTTTATACTATTTTCCACTTAAAGAATTCAATGTACTTTGGTAGTTTAAAAAAAGAACTTCAAGATACTAAGTAAGTTATTTAGATTTCTAAACATTCAAAATGACTCAATGCTCAGAAAGTATCCGACAAATGTACAATGACAAAGTTACTGCATCAAATTCCTGCCTGGCAACAAATCTGTGACTTTTTTTCACCCACACATTTTATATTATAACTCCCAGGTCAATGAATTTGCAGTTGACCACATACATATATACATCAAAAGGAACTAACTCTAAGAGAAACAGGAAATTAATAAGGCAAATGCTCTCCTTCAGTAACACAACTTCCTTCCTTAGCCCAGATTTCAGAACTGTACATATGATGGCCTCTACTCAACTGTTCTTAAAATTGGAATTGTCTTTGATAGCTTACCTCTTTCATAGTGAATACTTCCCCTTGAGCACCTGCAGCCTGCAAAATCTTCAGAAGTGGTAGTTTTGGTCGTACCTGCTGTAAACATAAAACATTAAGACAAAATTTTGATGTACCTGACAGATCTGGAACCTATGTAATAGAAGATGATCTTGAACTCTAGATCCTCCTGCACAAAGCCAGCACAAAGCTGCTATTTATATTTCAATTACATCAGTTTCTGGAGAAAAAAAAAAACCAACTCTAGGAGACACTTGCTGCCTTTCTGGTAAATCACTTACAATGGGAAATCTATTCTTCCCTACAAGGATGACAATAACGATACCTTTTTTTTTTTTTAAATATTTATTTATTATTATGTTTACAATATTCTGTCTGTGTGTATGTCTGCAGGCCAGAAGAAGACATCAGACGTCATTACAGATGGTTGTGAGCCACCATGTGGTTGCCGGGAATTGAACTCAGGACCTTTGGAAGAGCAGGCAATGCTCTTAACCACTGAGCCATCTCTCCAGCCCCTAACGATACCTTTTTAAAGGAAAGTCGCTGTTGGTAATGAAACAGGAAAACTAGAATCTGATGGAAATAAAATGGTGTAACTGCTACGGAGAAAAAAAAAAGTTGGCAATCCTTGGAAAGATAGCTCATCAGTTAAGAGCACTGACTGTTCTTATAGCAAAGCCCTGCACTCAGGCCTCACAACTGTAGCTCCAGTTCCAAGATATCTGACATTCTTTTCTGGCCTTGGTTGGCACCACACACACCTGTGAGGCACAGGCATACAAACAGGCAAAACACCCAAACACTGTCGGGCAGTGGTGGCGCATACTTTTAACCCCAGCACGCATTGAGGCAAAGGCAGGTGGATCTCTGTGAGTTCAAAGCCTGCTGGTTTACAAAGCAAGTTTCAGGAAAGGCTCCAAAGCTACAGAAAAATCCTGTATCCGGGGAAAAGAAAAAAACAAAAACAACCAACAACAAACACTCAAAAATAAAATTTTTAATTAAAAAATAAATGAAAAAATAAAAAAAGACAAAAGAATAAAAAATAAATGAATAAACAGATTTATCAAATAGCACACCAATTCCACTCCTAGGTATCTATAAAACAACCTGAAAGGTTGAGGGGAAGGCGCTGGTTGTACACTTTCAATCCCACACTTGGGGGACATAGGCAAGAGGATCTCTAGTTTGAGGCCAGTCTGATCTACAAGTTCCAATATAGCCAGGACCACATATAGAGACTCCCATCTCTTAGAAAGAATACAAAACAAAACAAAACAAAAGAGAAAAAAAAAAGACAGACCTACCGACCGACCAACTGACCCTGAAAACTGGACCCAGACAAGTATTTTCTCAAATAGTCAAGATGATGACAACGAAAATCAGTATATTGCTGGGCAGTGGTGGAGCACGCCTGTAATCCCAGCACTTCGGAGGCAGAGACAGGCAGGTCTCCATGAGTTCAAGGCCAGCCTGGTCTACAAGAGCTAGTTCCAGGACAAGCTTCAAAGCTACAGCTATTAAAAAAGAAAAGAAAAGAAAATCAGTAAGTTGATAAACAGTATATGTTGTGGACAACCACCATTTCACTAATGGAGTTTGTCGTCAGGTCTTTAGCCAATTAAGTGTCTTTGTTTTTTCAGATATTACAAATTAAAACAAAAACTGAAACACTGAAAAAAGACAACATATCCATTTCTGCTCTGCCATTCTATTACAGTCACACTATCTGAATTAACTTATCTTATACATTCTCTGTATTATTTGCCTCTATTCATACATTTTTGTATCCTGTATCTTTTATTTAAAATGTCCTGTTTTCCCATAAAATAAAAAAAATCATTAAAAAAAAGATGGCAGTCTACAACTGTCTGTAACTCCAGTTCCAAGGGGATCTGACACCCTCACACACACATATATGCAGGCAGAACACCAATACCCATAAAATAAAATAAATTATTAAACTATCCTGTTTTGACAGTATTCATTACTCATTTTTATATGCTGTTTGAAATTGATCTTAGAACCCCACACAAACTAGACAAGTACTCTACAGCTAAACTATCTTCTGTCCCCTTACTAATTTAATGGAACACATAATGTACCATTCTTATGTATCAGTTTATTAATTACTTATTTAAACCAAGGAATGGCAAACGCTGTTCTGAATTTACAAAAAGGTTGCTTTTTCCCCTATCTCCCCTTTCTTTATTTTGGCTGCTCTGGGGATCTAATCCTGAGTCCTGCACATCCAAGGCAAGAGCACGCTCTGGAGCTCAGCTAACCCTTACCCCTGCTGTAAATGGTTATACTAGAATATTACCATGCCTATGAGTTTACATTTTGTTTAAGGCTACAGTACTGAAGGGTTAAGACACAAACTTTACAGCCTGCAAAATCTAACATATTTGTTTTCTGGCCCTATAAGAAAGTTTGTTGACTCCTATCCTAAATTTCAAGTGGTTCATAATTTCTGCTATTAAAAGTAATGCTACTTGGAAGTTGGGTGGTGGTTCACCACTGTCATCAGCTCTTAAGAGAGCCAAGTTCGCCATGCGGTGGTGGTCCCAGCACTTGGGAGGCAGAGGCAGGCGGATCTTTGTAAGTTCAAGGCCAGGCTGGTCTACAAGAGCTAGTTTCAGGACAGGCTCCAAAGCTATAGAGAAACCCTGCCTCAAAAAAAAAGAGAGAGAGAGAGAGAGAGAGAGCCAAGTTCAAGTTCATCCTTGGCTACAGAACCAGTAAAGTCATCCTAGGCCCCAATACCCTGCTTCAAAAAAAAAAAAAATGCTACTTGAAAAATCATTGTGCATATAATTTCCCATACTTTGGACAAACCTACGTAGAGTATTAAAGAAAGTGGAACAGCTGGAAGATGGGAAATGGATCAGTCAGTAAAGTGCTCACTACACAGGCATAAAGACCTGAGTTCATTCAGATTTCCAGCACCCAAGAAAGTCATATGTGGTAGGCTGTGACAAACAGATCCTTCTAGAACTCACTGGCCAGTCCAGCTAAATCAGAGAGCTATAGATTAAATAACAGACCCTGTTTTAAATAATAAAGTAGAGGGGCTGGAGAGATGGCTCAGTAGTTAAGAGCATTGCCTGCTCTTCCAAAGGTCATGAGTTCAATTCCCAGCAACCACATGGTGGCTCACAACCATCTGTAATGAGGTCTGGTGCCCTCTTCTGGCCTGCAGACATACACACAGACAGAATATTGTATACATAATAAATAAATAAATATTTAAAATAATAATAATAATAATAATAATAAAGTAGAGTAGAGTAGAACTGAGGAAGACAAGTTATTTTTACCTTTTGATCTCCACATACACATGAACACATATACACGGGAGGGGTGCTAAATAACTTAGAGTAGTTAATCCATATATATATAGTATATATAACCATATATGAATATTTCATACACACAAGAATCTCAGTTGTCCAACCTGCCTTAAATTCACTCTGCAGGCCAAGCAAGCTTTGAACTTCTGATCCTCCAGCTTTAGCCATCCAGGTAGTTGGGATTATAGGACTATACTATCAGAACCATCAATAAAAACATTTTAAGGCTAATACTACTTCCCATCTTCCTTAATGCTTTAGCTATAAAGATAATGGTAGAATGAAAAAGACCCAGTACTCTTCAGGTGGAAAAGAATTCATGAAATTCCATTCCAATCTAGCTGTATTGGACAGAAGACAGAGGACTGAATAAGGAAAGGCTGCAGTTTCAACATGAGCTAGCTAGCAGCAGGTGACAGAAAAGAACTGAGGCAGGCAGCTAGGGACTGTGGGATGGAAATACATGAATTCTACTACTCCAAACACACCCTGGGCATAAGCCTCAAGGCAAGAGTAATTAAGCTGCCTCCAAGTGTTGAAATACGGAGCGGCGGGCTGTGTCCCGCCACCCGGCTAGCTTTACCCGAAATAATTACACAGAAACTGTATTCTTTTAAACATTGCCTGACCCATTAGCTTCAGTTTCTTATTGGCTAGCTCTTACATATGGATCTAACCCATTTCTATTAATCTGTGTAGCCCACGAGCTGGCTTACCAGGAATGATCTTAACCTGCGTCTGCCTGGAGTGGGAGAATCATGGCAACTCCCTGACTCAGCTTCTTTCTCCCAGCATTCCGTTCTGTTTACTCCACCTACCTAAGGGTTGGCCTATCAAATGGGTCTAGACAGTTTCTTTATTAATAAGAAATCACTCCCACATCATCCAAGTAAGAAAGTTCTACAGCCAACTACCTATATTTCTGAGTAATAAAGATTCTTCTATATAGAAAAAGTTTTATTCTTTTTTTTTTTTTTTTTTTTTTTTTGGTTTTTCGAGACAGGGTTTCTCTGTGGTTTTGGAGCCTGTCCTGGAACTAGCTCTTGTAGACCAGGCTGGTCTCGAACTCACAGAGATCCGCCTGCCTCTGCCTCCCGAGTGCTGGGATTAAAGGCGTGCGCCACCACCGCCCGGCCCAAAAGTTTTATTCTTTAAAAAACAAAAACAAAAAACCCAAGGCAGCTGGGGATACATAGCTCAGTGGTAGAGCACTTGGCTAGCATGCATGAGGACTAAACTCAATCCGTAGAATAGGAAGGACAGGCAAAAAGACAAAAAATAAAATAAAATTTAAGGAATGGGATCAGCGCCGGGCAGTGGTGGCGCACGCCTCCCAGCACTCGGGAGGCAGAGGCAGGCGGATCTCTGTGAGTTCTAGGCCAGCCTGGTCTACAAGAGCTAGTGCCAGGACAGGCTCCAAAGCTACAGAGAAACCCTGTCTCGAAAAACTAAAAAAAAAAAAAAAAGGAATGGGATCAGTTTAAATTAACCCTATATCAGGTGGCGGTGCATGCCTTTAATCCCCTTTAATTCCAGTACTCAGGAGGCACAGGCAGGTGGATCTCTGAGTCTGAGGCCAGCCTGGTCTACAGAGAAAGTTCCAGGACAGCCAGGGCTACACAGAGAAATCCTGTGTAGAAAAACAAAAAAATTAACCCTATCTCTGAGATGAAAGACAAAACAGGCTGATTTGAGTCTCAGGGATAGGGTTTTCTCTAAATCAAACAAATTTTATCCAAATTCGTTTGGATAAAATAAGTACCAGAAAAATTAACCGTCATCTTCTAGGGGAACAGTCTTGAGATCTTGGCAGCATCAGTAAGTTTATAACACACTATTCTATTATAGAAATGGAAAGCCTACTTTTGAGTTGGCTTCAACACTTCCTCATTGTTATGCAGGAAGCTGACAGGTGCAGGCCCAGGAGTTTGTCTCCCTTGCCCTCTCTCTCTCTCTACCAACAAGACAGATGAGCTAGAGTTTTTCAAGACAGGATTTCTCTGTGTAACAGTCCTGGCTGTCCTGGAACTCGTTCTTGTAGACCAGGCTGGCCCCAAACTCACAGAGATCCACCTGTCTCTGCCTCCCAAGTGCTGGGATTAAAGGCGTGCGCCACCACCGTCCGGCTAACTAAACTCATTTTTTAACTAAGTATTGAAGTAAAAGGTCTGGGGCTGGAGAGATAGCTCAGCAGTTTAGATCATTGTCTGTTCTTCCATAGGACCCAGGTTCAATTCCCAGCACCCATATGGCAGTTTACAACTGTCTGTAGCTCTACCTCCAGGGGATGTGAAGCCCTCAAACAGGCATTCATACAAGCAAAATATCAATGCACATAAAATAAAAATAAGTATCATTCAAAAGAAAGAGCACTTGTTGCTCTTCTAAAGGACCTGGATCTGGTTCGCAGCACCACCTACACAATGGCTCACAATCATCTGTAACTCCAGTCCCAGAGAAGCCCTCTTCTGGCTTCAAAGGGACCACATGCATGTGGTTCACAGACACATATGCAGGCGAACACTCATACACATACAATAAAAATAAATCTTTAAAAAAAATCTGTCTGCAATAGGATACACCAAATCTGAGGAGATGGTCAAGAGTCTGTATCCACAAATGCCTAAAGATAAACCATAGATTTTATAAGAATACATTTGCTATATTCATAGTTTAAGGCAGACTTTTAAATGAAACCAACTAGCCTGACCTGGTGGCACATGTCTGGAATCCCAGCACCTGGGAAAAAGCCAGGAAGATCAATCAAGTTCAAAGCAGCCTGGTTTACAAAGGACATTCCAGGTCAGCTAGGGCTGACCAGTACAGGAATACAACCTGTGTCTTTCTTTCTCAGACTTCAAAAGTAAACTGCACAAATAAAAAGAAAATCAACTAATTACAACCAGTTGAGACAAAAAAGAACTTAGATAACCTGGTCCCAAATTCCCTATTACCCACTTCTAACCTAAAATACATGCCTAGTTTAACAAAATGTAAGAATTAAACAAGCAGGGGACATAAGAAATGAAAACCTGGGCTGGAGAGATGGCTCAGTGGTTAAGAGCATTGCCTGCTCTTCCAAAGGTCATGAGTTCAATTCCCAGCAACCACATGGTGGCTCACAACCATCTGTAATGAGGTTTGGTGCCCTCTTCTGGCCTGCAGACACACACACAGACAGAATATTGTATACATAATAAATAAAGTCTTCTTTAAAAAGAAATGAAAACCGTAGCCATTTCAAGCTGTCTGTAACTTTCAAAAAGGTAATATAAGATTTTACAACATTGCTGGGCAGTGTAAGGCAAAGGCAAGCAGATCTCTGTGAGTTCAGGTCAGCCTAGTCTACCTACAGTGAGTTCCAGAACAGCAGGGCTGTTACACAGAGAAACCCTGTCTTCAAAAACAATAACAACAAAAGATTTTACTTTTACTTTCATCAAATTATAATTAGTGAATTCAGCTATATGCCACAATTCAATTTCTTAAAATTTTACAAAAAAATAAGATACCCAATACTCATTACCTGACTGATTCTTTCTGAAGATATTCTGCAAGCACTGTCAGATGTTGAGCACTGGGCAGATGTGGAATGTGATGTCATTTTGGCAGTGAAGACTCTGCAGTCAGCAAACTAAAAGGAAAAAAATTATATATAAATGTAAAGTAGAAGAAACAATTTGGGCATGGTGGCACACACCTTTAATACCAGCACTCAGGAGGTTATCTTTGTGAGTTCAAGATCAGCCTGGTCTATACAGCAAATCTAAGGAAAGCCAGGGCTTATATATATAGAAATCCTTTCTCCAAACAGAATGAAAAAGAAGATAAAACTGCCAACAATGGTTTAAAAACAAAACAAAAAAAAAATCTGACAAATACACATATATCTCTGCACAAATGCAAAATACTCACACTGAGATTCTCAATCTCTAGTTCAAATCCAGCACAAACGCTGGAGACAAAATCATCCAAGCTTCACTCAGGTGAATCCTGAAACAGAGACAGGTTTGGACGTGTTCTACTTTCAATGCTGATGCTAATGAGTGAGTTGTTCTAGCTCAAAGTCAAATTTCCAATGACTGCTTCCCCCACTGGCTGTCAGGTGGTACCAGTAACTCTTAAGCACAGTGCTTAAGATAAGAGCTAGAGACACATCTGGAAAATCACCAAGACCGGTGCTCCAACATGCCTGGACAAGAAACTGCACAGGAAAATGAGCCTGGTGTAATCTTGGTAGGGCACATTGGTAATCTCAGCATTGGGAGTTCAAGGCCAGCCTGAGGTACACAGTAAAACCTCTCAAAAACAAAAAGGTTTTAAAAATACATTTTAGGTATCACTTAGGGGAGTTTCTAAAGGAATCAAACTCAATTAGGTCAAAAGTTGCTACCTTGGAGAAGATTTTGCTGACTCCAAGATGGGGAGAGTGATGATACCAGAATTAAGAAGTTGTGAGAACGTGTACGTAACACTCACAGGCCCTTAGTTTAGTCCTCACCAATGCTGACTCCCGACAACCCCATGAAAAAAAATATGCCCCTACTAGCTTGAAACCAGAGTAGAAAGCCTGGTTTTCTCAATGTTAAGTGGTTTCTAACCTACATTTAGTCTAAGGAACTCCTATATCTCATCCTGAAATGCCTGCCTTTGAAAACAATGGTAATTTTTTTTTTTTTAAAGACAATCTCACTATGTAGTCTTGGCTTGGCTGGAAGTCACTTTGCTGATCAAGCTAGCCTTGTTTTAAGAGATCTGTTAAGAGATCTGTCTACCTCTGCCAGAATTAAAAGTAAGCAACACACAGCCAGCAAAGACAACCGTAATTTTAACACTAAAATTTAAAACTTCTAAAAAAAATAAAAATACATTAAAGACTGGTAATTACCAATTTTTTTAAACAATAAAAGTTATTGATGTAACACGTATTTGTTCAGCTCCTTTTTTTTAAAGGTTTATTTATTATGTATACAACATTCTGCCTCCAAGCCAGAAGAGGGCACCAGATCTCATTATAGATGGCTGTGAGCCCCCATGTGGTTGCTGGGAATTGAACTCAGGACCTCTGAAAAACCAGCCAGTCAGTGCTCTTAACCTCTGAGCCAAAAAAAAAAAAAAAAAAAAAAAAAAAAAAAAAAAACAAACCTCTGAGCCATCTCTCCAACCCCCATTACTTTCAGCTCTCTTTTAATAACATATCCTTGGGGGGTGAAGGGGGGGCATGTACATGAGTGCAGATGTCCACAAAGGCCAGAGCATCATATCTCCCTGGAGCTGTAGTTGCAGACAATTGTTAGATGCCTGGGTCCTCTTCGAGAGCACCAAAGGCTCTTAACCACTGAGCCAGCCATCTCTCCTGCCCCTTGTTCAACTGAATGGATCAAACGAGAATGAATACTCATTTTAAAAAGAAAAGATGGCCAAATACAGTGGCACACTCCTTTAATCCCAGCACTTGGAAGGCAGAGGCTAGCCTGGTCTACCCAGTGAGACCCTGCCTCAAAAAATACATAAATAAATCAGATATTAAGAGTACTTCATTCCACCTTTGCTAAACACTTGAGGGTGCAGCAAAAAAATGCACTACAACTATTTGTCAAGCCAGGAAATAACCTAAAAGCAAGGAGGATTTAGCTAAAGAAACAGCTTACGTTACCTTTTTAAAGGATGATAACACAAAACACTTTAAAAGAAATTAGTCTACCTTATAGAAAACAGATGTTATTTAAAAAATTTGAGGTGCATACTTGCAAAATGATCCTTCTGTGGTTTAAAACTAATGTGTAGAGCAAGTCAGGAAATCTGTAGGACCCAGTGATGAGAACATTAGGAAGCTTGAGGGGTTATGGGTGCTGGCCTGTCAACTTTACACATTCACATTTTTTTTATTTTTTTTTTTTTGGTTTTTCGAGACAGGGTTTCTCTGTGGTTTTGGAGCCTGTCCTGGAACTAGCTCTTGTAGACTAGGCTGGTCTCGAACTCACAGAGATCCGCCTGCCTCTGCCTCCCGAGTGCTGGGATTAAAGGCGTGTGCCACCACCGCCCAGCCACATTTTTTTTCAAACAGGAGTTTGTCATTGGTCTTGACCAATACAGTGAGAGTATTGTAAACAATCCTTTAAAGCAAAATAGTTTTTTTTCTAGCAGGAATGAAGGGGAAAACTAAACCTGAATTGATATTCAGCAACTTATGTTATGCTCAAGTTTCTGATCCCCAAAAGAATTCAAGGAGCCAAATTTCTGATGCAAATTACATGAAGGTTTTTAATATTCAAACTCAAGTTTGGACCAACCCCTTTCCAGCACCCCAGCATGGTGGGTGCAGAAAGTGCAGGCAGGGAGCACTGGGAGGGTAAAACTTTTAAAGGGGAAACTCTGTAATCAGGGGAGTTCTTGTCCTGATGTCTTGGGATTGGGTAAGGAGGGCATAGGGTAAGATAGTTTCTGAAGTCATTGGTCAGTTTGGGGGCACAAAAACCTAACAAAGAGCCATTAATAACTGACAAAGAATCTTCAAGGACAGGAGGCCTCCCAGGAACATCTGGACCTCATTAAATTTTATAGCCCTGCTCCTTAGCTCCTTAATTGTCTATTTTAGGTTATCTGTTGAAATTTTGCTATCGCTACACATTTCTGGAGCTGAGATCTGCCCCCCCCCATTCATTATTTGGCTTAAGATGAAACCCCTTCTTGAAAATGGAGTATGCAAAGTCAGGTCCTCACACTTACACCTGCTATTATTAAAGGTTAAGTATCTTTTGACAGACACATGCCATGCCTAGTGGGGCTTCCTAACCCACACAGGCCTTTCTTGAACAGGATTAAGATAGGTGTTGTTTTGTTCAGGTGTTGCTTAATAGTGGTCTCAACAGGTGGGGAGGTACAAAAATCACTGGGGGGGGGGGGGCATGCTAATTAAAGTTCAGATTGTGAGGGCCAGCCATGATAATTGGTCACCTAAAGGAAGTTCTTTACTTCCAACCATTATCGCCTGGGACTCTGGTCATCGAAGAATTTAAACAGGAGACCAGGGTCTCAGTGGGTTCCCCTGAAGCCACACCCGGTGGCAGAAAAGAACCATAAGCTGAGATAACCGGATCCCCACCCAAGGGCAGACCATTCAAAGGAAAAGCCTGACATTCCAAGGCTGTAGATAGGATCACCCGCCAGGGCACCTCACCAGGATGCCCCTAGACTAATGTCAGCCAAGCAGGGGTCCTGAATCTCAGAGACCCCTCATCCCCACCTTTACTACTATAAAAACCAAATTCTAATTGAGCTCGGAGAGCGGATATTCCAACACGTTGGTCATGCGGAGAGACCTAGTTTGCAAACTTGATTAAAATATAGGCCCTTTGCTTTTACATATGGGACTCGGTTTCTTTTGTTGGCTTTTGTGGGGACCCCGCGGATTTGGGCATAACAATATTCGCGGGACAGGAGAGGTGGAGGAGCAGGTTGGGAGGCAGGGCCGGGTGGCTCTTCTTGAGTTCGAGGCAAGCCTGGTCTACACAGCAAGTTCCAGGCTAGTCAGGGCTGGTTACACATTGAGAGCCTGTCTCAAAAAAAATAAAATAAATAAAATAAATAAATAAAATTAATATTCGTGGAGAATAATAATAAATACCCGCGGTCCGTATGTGGACCGCAAACAAACACCTTTCAAACACTAGAGCCGACAGTCTGCGGCCCTTAAAATTATTCAACTTTTAAATCACGTCAATGTCACTCTCCCGGTCTCCCTTCCTCCGACCCCTTTAAGTTCTCAACACTCTTCAAATCTGAGGTGCAGTTAAAAACATCAGCGCCATCACTTCACTGTCAGTCCGTAACTGCAAAAACCCGTTTCACTGCACTCCACTTTTCTCCTCCGCGGGGCCGTAGCGCCACCCTTCCCCCACAGCCTCTCCCGCGGCCCCGCGGCCCACGCCGCCCTCCGCCCCGGTTCCTCCAGCGTGCTCGCCAACTACGTGTCCTCCAGGCCTCCCGTCCGCTCCCCCGCACACCCCGCCGGCCAGACCCCTCCGCCACACCTTACGGTCGCGCCACGAGTCGCTTCCCCTCCGAGCTGGGGGAGGGGCGGCAGGAGTAGCTCCTAAGGCCTCCGCAGCATTTTTGAAACTGCGAGCAACGGCGGCGCGACTTCCGGCCTCTCAAAGTCGCGTTTGCGAGAGCTTCCGGGGAGGCAGTCGAAACCATAGAGTAGCCCGTGGAGGACTAGAGGGCTAGAAAGGCTGAAGAACCTACCATTGAGTACATGCTAATCCAGGAAGAGAGTCTCCAGTCGTGGACGATGACCGCTAGAGATAGTTATGTATTTATTTTACTTTTGAGACAGGAAGTCTGTGTGTATCCCTGGCTGTTCTGGAGCTCACTATGTAAACCAAGCTAGCCTCGAACTCACAGAGGTTCACTTCGTCTGTCTCCCGAGTGCTGGGATTTAAGGCGTGCAACACCATGCCCTGCATAAAGAGGTTTTGAAAGAATAGGGAGACCTGTCGGGATCTTGCGATGTGTACAGCGATGTCCCCGGCGATTAAAACAGAAGAAAGCTAAGAGCATACTCAGAGGTGGCCTTTAGATCCTCAAAAAACCCTTAATATAATTTAATCATTCTTACTCCCCAGGGGTGGCCGCCGAGGGAAACTGCATCCCAGTTGTTTCTCAATGGGGAACATACAATTGGTTTATTCACGAATGACTACAAAATAAGTGATAAATGCTAAAAGAAAAGGACAAAGAATAGTGAGACGGATCTTCCCGGCCGGATCTTAACTCGGATCACAGAATCGGGTCACGCTTCCCCACCACCCCCTGGGGTTGAGAAACTCCCTCAAGCAAACTGCCGGTGCCAAACAGCATCACCTACCCCAGATAACCTCATTTATTTCGGTATAATTCTGAGTGAGAGGATTTTCTGAGCTGAAATATTTTGTCTTGTACTTTCTTCTTAATAGCTGGGTGTTTTTGGAGGACAGTACGAATTCATTACTTCCAATGTAAATGCTACCCCGTTTTTTGTTTTTGTTTCTTTTGTTTTATTTTGTTTTGAGACAGGATCTCTATGTATCCCTGGCTGTTCTGGCATTCTGTGTAGACAAGGTTGGCATCGAATTCACAAAGATCCTCCAGCCTCTGCCGCAATCCAGAGTGCTGGGTTAAAGGCGGGCCACGCTACTACCGGGTTCTTGGAGACAGCTTCCACATCCCATTCCCAGTCCTCTCAATTCTCTACAAGCTAAGCCTACTGATCCTTTGATTATTTCTTTTTGACGTGTCAATGAGCCACCGAGTTACCCTGAACAAGAACTTGTTTGTGTTAAGATGTGGCGCCCAGATATAGATGCATACTCATGCAAAGAAAACAAGACCGTACCCTCCCTTGATTTACACATTACACGGTCCCTACTACGAATTTATTAATTGGGCATTTTGGGAGACAGTAAGAATTTATTATTTCCAATATAAACACTACCGCATTCTTTTTGTTTTCCTTGAGGCAGGATCTCACAAGTAGCTCTGGCTGTCCTAAATCACTAGGTAGACCAGGCTGACCTTGAACTCCAAGATCTACTGGCTTCTGCCTCAAGAGCGCTGGGAATAAAAGCCTGCACTGCTGTGTCCCGCTCCTACTTAGAGCCTTTCCCAGTGGGAGAGTCAGAGCTTTCTGAAGACGCTGAGGTGATTCTCTTTGTGCAGTCGCTGACGAGCTTGAAGTCAACAATGGATTTCCTCAAAAGAGAGGGAAGGGCACTTTTAGGTAAAACCCAGTCAAGTATTTCCCCTTCTCCCTTTGTGCAAATACTTTTTGTTTGGTTGATTTGGTTTGGCTCTCTTCTGTTTTGGAGACAGGACCACATCCTGTGGTTCAGGCTGGGCTGTAATTTATGCTACTGTTATGACTTGTAAAGTAAATATCTGATATGCAGGATATCTGAGATGTGACCCTTGTGAATTTGTCTTTGGGTCCAACCTTCCCCCGCCAGAGGGCTCAATCCACAGGTTTCTGAAGACAGGCTCCTACTTTGTAGCTCTGACTGTCCTGGAACTCAAACTCACAGAGGTCCACCTGCCTCTGCCTTATGAGTGGATTAAAGGTATGTGCCACTGTGCCAAGCCATAATTAACTTGTTAAAACAATGCCTTAATAAATATGTCAAACAGAACAAGGCTTAGAAAATAGAGCCTTTACCAGCACGTGGAGGGCCCTGCCTTAATAAATAAATAAACAAATGGAGCCTTACCCATCACATTGACACTGATATGCTGTACACGTTGAGGGCCCATATCTACCAATCAAATAAACTTAGCAAAAAACAAGCTGGTTAAAAGTTCATAACTCATCTTGTTATCTGCCACTTCCTTCTCAAAGAAGTCTGTTCACATAAACAAACAGGAAGTCTGATTTCTGGTCTGTTTCTTGAAACCAGAGCATTACCCAGTTATATATCTTTAGTGTCTCAGGCTATAAAATAAAATGGATGAATTGGCTTGTCTATGGCCCTTTTTAATGTTAAAAGAATTAAAAGACAATTCCTGAATTATAACTTTCTGGAACAAAGCTAGAGCGCTAACTCCCTCATCCATAGACAAGGATGTGAAGAGGAATATAATGTTTTCTTCTTCCTACAGAATACTACTTAACTACACAAAGAAATTTCCTCCCTGACATCTCCCAGCTTCAAACTCAAAGAGTATCATTTTCCTGACTCTGGTATTTATCTGCTCCATGCATTTCTTTAGGATTTTTGTTTTCCTTTCCTTTGCTTTGTTTTTTGAGACAGGGTTTCTCTGTAGCTTTGGAGCCTGTCTTGGAACTCACTCTGTAGTCCAGGCTGGTCTCAAACTCACAGAGATACGCCTGCTTCTGTTTAGGATTTTTAAAACTTTTATTTATTGTGTGGAGGTCAAAGTTGATTTCCTCTTTCCATGATGTGGATTTCGGGGTACAAATTCAAATCCTCTGTGTAGCCCTAGTTGACCAGTTGCACAATTAGATCAGGCTGGCCTCAAACTCACAAAAATCATCTGCCCTTGCTCTGAAGTGCTAGAATTAAAGGCCTACACCACTATGCCTGGCCCTATTACACTTTTGGGTTCTTTTTCTTTTTTTGGTTTTCTTTCGTTTGGTTGGGTTTTGGGGTTTTTTTGTTTGTTTTTCTTTTTTTATTTCTTTCTTTCTTTTTTTGTTTTTTTGTTTTTTGAGGCAGAGTTTCTCTGGAGCCTGTCCTGGAACTAGCTCTTGTAGACCAGGTTGGCTTCAAACTCACAGAGATCGACCTGCCTTTGCCTCCAGAGTGCTGGGATTAAAGGTGTGCGCGACTATCGCCGGACTCTTTCTTTTTTTTTAATTAATTAATTAATTTTGTGACAGGGTGTAGAGTCCTAGTCCTGGCTGTACTGGAGCTAACTTTGTAGTGAGTGGGCTTGAACTCACTGAGATCCACCTGCCTCTGCCCTCCCGAGTGCTGGAATTAAAGACATGCGCCACCACTGCCCAGCTGAATTTTATTTATTTATTTATTTATTTATTATTTTTTTTTTTTTTTTTTTGCTTTTTCGAGACAGGGTTTCTCTGTGGCTTTGGAGCCTGTCCTGGAACTAGCTCTGTAGACCAGGCTGGTCTCGAACTCACAGAGATCCACCTGCCTCTGCCTCCCCAGTGCTGGGATTAAAGGCATGCACCACCATCGCCCGGCTGAATTTTTTTTTTATAGTTGTATCAAACTCTTAAAAGTGTTTTACTGTAATTTATATTCTTCTTTTTGTTATTTTTTGTGTGCATGTGTGTTCCACCTGTGTTTGGGTGCTCACAGAGGCTATAGAAGGTGTCAGATCCCTTGTGTCTGGAGTTATAGTGTGAGCTGCCTGATGTGGGTGCTGGCAATTGAACTCAGGTCTTCTGCAATAGCAGCGAGTGAACGCGGGTCTTCTGCAATCGTAGCGAGCGCTCTTCATTTCTGAGCCATCTCTCCAGCCCCGCAACTTATGTTCTTATTCCTCATTGTCAAGTTCAATGATGGTGTAAGACTTTAAGACAATCCTGAAGCCATTTTTGACAATTCTAAATCCTCTCAGCCTCTGTGCCATAGTGCTTCCCCTCCTCCCCTGGGAACCAAGGACCTAACAGGTACACTCACACGAACTCAGTTCCTGAACAATTACCCATATACATATGTTTTGGTTCGGTCCCCTGGGAAACGGGGTCAAAATGACCTCTTACCTCATCTGATCTGGCAACAGCTCTCCAGTCAATTATTGGTAATAGCCCTTTTGAATAAGCCAATCAGAATAGTCAAAGAATAACCTCCCTTGCTTCTGTGGCCCCTTTAAAAGTAGACTGTACCAGCTGTTCGAGGTCCCTCGGCTTCCCGAATGCTGGGGGACCCTGTCATGACAGAATTAATAAGATCCTCATGCTTTTGCATCGGCTGTGGTGTGTGAGATAGTCAATGGGGGTGACTCCTTCTCGGTGTTTGGATGCTAGAGTCCAACAATGGCAAATCATTTAATTATGATTAAATTCCTTTTCATTGGTGTACAGTGATGTTATTGTTCAGCCATAAGCTGAATTGTACACAGGTAGAATGAATTGTTGTGTAGCTAGCCCCTGTGTTAGTTTTCCAGGGTTACCATAACAAAATACTACTGGGGGCTTACACAGTGGAAATTAATTTCCTCTCAGTTCTGGATCCTTAAGTCAAAGATGACGAAATAGTAGACTTGTTTCTTGAGTTTTCTCTTCTTGGCTTGTAGTTGGCTGCCTTTGGCTGAGTGCACATGGGGTCATCCTTTAGCCTGTGTGTTGTCTGTACTTTTTTATTTTTTTTCTTGAGGCAGGGTTTCTCTATATAACAGGCCTGGCTGTCCTGGAATTCGATTTGTAGACCAGGCTGGACTTAAATGCACAGATCCACCTGCCTCTGCCTCCTAAGTGCTGGGATTAAAGGTGTGTGCTACTGTGCCCAGGTTATTTTATTTTTTTAATTATAGCAAACTTGTGGAGGTCAAAGGACAACCCATATCAGTTGGTTCCCACGGGATCTGGGGATCAAACTCAACTAATAGTGCTTCTGCAGTAAG